AGCAAGCGTTTAAATTATAAATATTCCTGTCTGGTTGATCTTATTAGGAGGTAAGCAGTAACCTTTCAAACTGTTCTTCTGGGCATGTACTGCTGTCATTCATGGATGGCTACTGTAATGCCCCTGTGTTGAATTTGAGTAATGAGTAGTATCATAAAATGTGATGACATTCAGCAAAGAGCTGGTAGGTCCACACCGATGGAGGCCTCATTTATTGACTTTCGGCACATTTCTCAGTTCTGTTTGAACTCTGGAAGTGGTTTAATTGATGTTGACCAAGCAAGCCAGGTAATAGTATGGTCACTTATAGCTGTAATGCTGTTAATATTTTCAGAATAATGGCAGTGAAATGCCTCCATCTTTCATTTCTACCCGAGGGGAGGTATTCGTGGTTTGCTTCCGTTGACTCAGCAGTGACTAGAGGAAGATTATGTTAGACGGAGGAGGAGGTGGGAAGAGGAGGAGGTAGAAGGAGATGGAGGGTATGAGCTATATGAGGAGGGAGGATGAGGGAGGAGGGTGCTGGAGAATTGGCTCTCTCTTGGAAAGGTGGCTGAAGAATTCTGAAGCTTTTAGACATTTTCTCTTAGGCTTTGGGTCCTTTCTAGAAGTTGCTTTGTGTGCTATCAGCCGAGGAGAAGGACCGAGTGGTGCAGGTGACTCACTGTGATGGCCAAGGCCAGGTCCGCAAATCATAAATGAAGACATTCAAGAAACTGCCAGGTGCCTGGGAAGTAGTGGGCGGGCGAGGTTATCAGGCATCAGCACTCCAGAAAGTGACACTTATGCTACTTCCCGGAGGAAAGCCCTTCTTTAGATACCTGTCTGTATACCAGACAAGAAAAATGGAGACTTCCTGCTGCCCGCAGTGAGGGTTCAGTCAAAGACTCAGCTAGGGGGTGGAGAATAAATGCCAGCCGCTCCTTCCTTTCTGCCCTATGGTCTACAGCCAGCTGACATGTTTTTCTTTTTGCTCTTGCTCTCATGACAAAGTCTAAAGGAATAGAAGACTCAGTTGAGCTGCACCAGAATTAGATCTGTGAAATTGCTTATTTCAGCAAGAATCAGGAAGGGGAACAGGACACTCTGCAAAGTCAATTGAAACTGTCTAAGAGGCCGGTTGACTTTGAGGACAGCAGAAGGAGGACGTGGAAGAATGATGAGCCAACCAACAGCTCCGCGCTGTGAGCTCCAGGAGCAGTGAGCACTGAGTGACCGAGTCTTAGGCACAGGAACTCGAGGGCCACTGACAAGTGCTGCAAGTAGCCAGCCTGCTCTTGAGAAATGGCCTAAGCTAATCCTTACGGGTTCATGCTGCAGTGTACACGAGCTACTCAAAGTGTGTGATGGCACTCTTAGGACAGAAGGAAAAGGCTTCTCAGTGGCCGGAGAGATGGTGCTGTGGCTAAGAGTGTATTGTTCTTGCAAAGGACTTCAGTATGGTTCCTGTCACCAGCACCTGCTAGGTGGTTCACAGCCACCTGTAATTCCAGCTCCAGGGGATCCAGGCTCCTGGCCTCTAAGGGCACTTGAGCCAGGTTGTGTGGGCACATGCCTTTAATTTCAGCATCCAGGAGACAGAGGCAGGTGGCTCTCTGTGAGTTTGAGGCCACCATGGTCTATAGAGTGAGTTCCAGGTGAGTTGAAGCTACTTAGTGAGACCCTGACAAAGTCAACAAACAAACAAATACTTTTGAAGTCACTATCATTATTATTAGAGCCAGCATTGCTACACAGTGGCTTCTTCTGAGAGACCAGGCTGGGCAGTTGTACAAAGTCCTAGGTTTGATCCCTAATAATGCATTAACCAGGTTCAAGTGATATAGACCTGTAACCCCAGAACTTGGGAGGCGGAGGGCAAGATACATGGGACCCTGCCTCATAAACAACAACAACAACAACAACAAGAAGAAGCTGGAAAACAATTCCGAAGGCAATGAGAAAGAATAAGAGGAAAGAGGGTAGAAGGGCACATCCTTGTGAGAAAAAGGATTGTCTTACAGCATTGGCTGCCAAAATGTGAACCATTGGAGTCCCTGGGGCCATTTTGAGATCTGTGAATTCAAAACTGTTGTAATGCACTGAGACATTATATACCCTTCTCATTGTAGTAATTTACATAAAGTTTTCCATCTTAACATTTTTAATTGTACCATTTACATTGTTACAAAACAGATCTCCAGAACTTGGTCATCTTGCAAGTCTTAAACTCCCTACCCATCAAATAACAACTCCCTTTTATTACTCCTAGCCAGTGGTCCCCAACTATTTCATGTTTGTTTCTGTGACTTAGACTCTCTTACATACATCTTTCAAGGGGGAATAAATAGAGCATTTATCTTTGGGCTAGCTTATTTCTCTTGGCAAAATGCCCCATGGTAGCTTGTAGCGAGATTGTCTTCCTTTGTGAAGCTGCGTAGTATTTCTTTGTATGTATGGACCATGTCCTATTTACCTATCATCCACTGCTGGATGTTTGCATTGCTTCCATTTCCTGACTGTTGTCATTGTTATTTGCCTTTTTCAGCAAGTTGACGTTTGCCTCCACGGTCTAAGAGGACATACAATTGGAGATGGCTTAGCACAAATCAAGATAGCAGTACTAAATTGTCCTCGTAGTTACTGCATTTCACTTTGTGATACAGTTGTACAGTGGGGGGAGCATCTCATGCACTTGACAGCATTTTATTTACTATGTGATGAGATGAGAAATAGGCATTCGGCTGCTCCTGTACACCGGAACTGTCTTGAGGGAGAAGCCTTGCGCAGTTAAGCTTTTTTTATTTTTTTTTTACTGTGAGAAAAACTAGTTTTCACACTTAGGTATTTCATAGATATTTTATTTATTTTTAAAGATCTATCATATATCTGGGCAGGATGATCTATGTTTTTTTATCTCAGCACTGGGGAGGCAGAGGTGGGTAGATCTCTGTGAGTTCAAGATCAACCTGGTGTACATAGTGAAGTCTAGGTCAGCCAGAGAGCTACATAATCTGTAGTGAGACTATCTCAGAAAAAGAAAAAGAAAAGAAAAGAAAGAGGGTATGTGGGTGAAGAAATGGCACAGTGGTTAAGACAGACGACCCGAGTCTGATCCCAAAACCCACAAGGCAACTCACAAAGGCCTGTAACTGCAGTTCCAAGGTATCCAACTCCTTTTGGACTCTGTGTGTACCGGCCCTGCATAAGGTCATAAGGTGTGTATGTGTGTGTGTCTTCAAAATTAAAAAAAAATGGCATACAAATGTTTAAACCTTAGAGCCTGTACATGCTAGGCAGGCAGTCTACCACTAAGTTATACTTCTAACCTGTAGACCTTCTCTTAAAAATGAATGAAATAAGCCTGTTTACCTTTAAAGGAAACAAATGTCAGTATTTAAATAGATAAAATTTGAGTTTCCAAATGGGAATTAGAATTTCAAGTTTATTTTTCCTCTGTGAATGTGGCACTTCCCAAGACCTTAAAGATTTTTTATGAGAGATATTGATGCTGATATTAGTGAATTTTTTAAACTATTGGAATGAAATGTGTCAACATTAGGAAAATTTGCATAATTAATCAAATCAATTTTTTTTCCACTAACATGCTTTATTACAAAAAGCTATCCTTTTTATAGTGCAGGATAAACCAATAGATTTTAAAAGAGCAGAATATATATTTTTTGCGGGGATAGGGTTTTTGTGTTGGCTAGGTTTTGGTAGTTTGCTTTTGTTTTTTGAGACAGGATTTCACTATGTAGCTTTTGGCTGGCCTGGAGCTCACTATGTAGACCAAAGCTGGCCTCCAACTTACAGAGATCTGTCTGTCTCTGCCTCTTAAGTGCTGAGATTAAAGGCCCGGGCCACAGCACCTGGCTTGTTAGTTTTTTTGTCTACTTGACACAAGCTAGGTTCTTCTGGGAAGGACACCTCAGCTGTGAAAATGCCTCTGTAAGATTGGCGGTGCCACCCTTGGGCAGATGGTCTTGGGTAGGGTAGTACTAGAGAGCAGGCTGAGCAAACCATGAGGAGCAAGCCAGTAAGGAGCACTCCTTCATGGCTTCTACACCAGTTCCTGCCTCCAGGCTCCTGCCTTGCATTGCTCCTGCTCTGACTTCCAACTGTGTGATCTGAAGGGTAAGAGGAAATAAACCCTTTCCTCCCCAAGGTGCTTTTGGTCATGGTGTTTATTTTATTACAGAGTAGAAACCTTAGTAAGACAGTTCCAATTGCAGAAAATCTCTAAGGAACTCTACTTATTTCAGGGTATAGCATAGAAGTAGAGTCTCTCCAGCATTCTGAAGGTTTGTCAAAACTACTTCTCTGTCTGGGGATGTAACAGTGGTAGATTGCTTGCCTAGCATGTGTGAGATTCAGTCCCTACATCATTTAACCAATGAATAAATAAACATAGATTTTAAAGAGAAATTCTTCTCTTTTGCAGCAGGTGTGAAAGGCTAGGCCATCACACAGTCAGCTAAGGCTGTGTCTGTAGCATATTGAATATGAAAACAAATGTGACAATATTGACCAAGGTGCAAAAGACATTAGTGAAATCATGAAGCAAAACCACTCTTTTAGTTTTTGTTTCAGAAAGAAAACATAGGTATGTGTGTATATGTGTATATATAAGTATGTTGTATTAATATGGAATGAATTTATCATTTTTATCTAAGTGAATTAATATTTAAACATTTGCTAGGTCTAGTGGCTCACACCTTAAATCCCAGTACTCTGGAGGCAGAGGCTGGTACATCTTTGTGTGTTCAAGACCAGCCTGCTCTATGTAATGAACTCCAGGCTAGCCAAGGCTACACAGTGAAACCCTGTTTCAAAACAAAGAAACAAAGACTAAACCATGTTTCACTTTAATATACCAAGTGCACATAGATCTAGCTTAAATCCACAAAAGTTTTGGGGCTCCACAGGACGTGAGGACCATAGTGAAGACTCAGTGATCAACTCAAGTGAGTGCTAGCCCTCTTCATGGACCCAACCCATTTCTCTTTTATCCATCTTAGGTATTTAGCTCGCGTAGGAGACCTTGAAGCCACCAACACCGAAGACCCAAATCTCAATTATGGACTTGTGGTGGACTGTGGTAGCAGTGGCTCCCGGATTTTTGTTTACTTCTGGCCAAGACACAATGGGAACCCCCATGACTTACTGGACATCAAACAGATGAGAGACCGAAACAGCCAGCCTGTGGTTAAAAAAATCAAGCCAGGTACTAGTCACAATGAATTTTTACTAATCTCTTACCTACCGTAGGTGTAAGAAGAGAAAGGGAAGAAAGGGAACCCCACTTGTTTTTGTGGGGATCTGGGCAGTGGAGGAATCTCTCACTTAACTGTCATCCTGTTTTCAAAAACATAAATGTAGGTGCTTGGATAGAATCTTTCGAATGTCCGTTTTCTAAGTCTTTTGTGATCTACATCACACACACACACACACACACACACACGCACATACACACATACACACACGCACATGCACACATGTATGTACGTACTTATGTATAAACATTTGGATTTACTTAAGGAATCTCCGCAATGGCCGATACTCCAGAACATGCCAGCGATTACCTACGACCTCTGCTGAGCTTTGCTGCCTCCCACGTGCCTGTGAAGAAGCACAGGGAGACCCCTCTTTACATCCTCTGCACAGCGGGCATGAGGCTGCTCCCCGAGAGGTGAGATTCAGTCCCATGTAGCCAGGATGGAGGCAGGTGAAATCACACCACGCAGAGTCCACAGGCAGAAGGCTGCTTGCTCAGAAACAGTGGGGCCATTCCTGTACCCAGTTATTGCACCGTCGGGCAGCCACATCTTTCTGTCATTTGTGGCTTTGGGATCAGTATCCATTTGAGATGACAAAGGGTTCTGAGTTTGGGTGGAGGGTGTGGCAATTGGGAGTGGTAGCAGGTGACTGAGTCATGAAGCAGGTGTAGTGAGCCCATATTTGCACAAAGGCAGTACAAGAGCTACCCGAGGGACAGGAGTCATTCTGGGGCTACTGGGAGACTAGGGCAGCAGCTGGGTCCCATGATGACCGGGGAGTCTCTCTTCTCCATGCTGCGCAAACCTCAGCCTCTGTTGCTTTAGATAGCTTTCTCGGCCCCAACCAGTTCGGTCTTTTCCACCTGAACCCCAAATTCAGCCTGATAACTTTTTTTCTGTTATTTTTTTCGAGACAGGTTTTCTCTGTGTGTAGGTCAGACTGGCCTTGAACTCACAGAGATCCACCTGCCTCTGCCTCCCGAGTGCTGGGATTGAAAACTTTTAAGACTTTATTTTATTTACCTTTACTTTTGTGTGTCTGTGTGGGTATGAGTGTGCACATAAGTGCAAGTAAGTACCTGAGAGCAGAAGAAGCTAGAGTCACAGGTGGTCGGGACAATTGATGTGGGTGCTGGGAACTGAACTCAGGTCCTCTGCCAGAGCAGCAAGCACTCCTAAACTCCAAACCATCTCCAACCTCTGTTTTTGTTTTTTAAACAAACTCAACCAAGTATATTGAAAATCTCTTCATGTCCTCATGTAGAGATATAAATTTTATATTTTTAAAAGCATAGTGGCTTGGGGTTGGAGAGATGGCTAGACAGTAAAAAACACTTGTTCTCACAGGGGACCCAGGCCCAGCCACAAGCACCTTAACTCCAGTTCCAGGGCACGCGATGCCCTCTTCTGACTTCCACGGGCACCAGGGACACACGTGCTGCACACACATATATCCAGGCAAAACACTTACATACTTGGAACGAAATCATACCTAAAACAAAAAAATTTGTTAAAGTTTCCTGGCTGGATGAAAGGTTAACCACATAGAAACCTCCCCAAGGTGATACAGGTAGTTTATATCACAGACAGCAGCACAGACTGGTGGCCATCCTTCCCTGCCATCACCAGGTCCTGCAAACCCTCGCCTGTGGGTCGCTAAGAAGCATATCCAATCCGGAGGGATGATAGCCCCTCATTACCCGTGTAAACTTGCTGCAGAACTTTATTATGTATAATAATTAACAATTTTAAACAGTGTATATGAGATTGTATTGGAAAATTAGTTCCTCAAGTATAATTCTGTGCTTTTAAGTGGTAGCAATATTTTTCACTGAGTCATGTTGACAGTTATCTGACCAGTAGAATATTCCTGTAATAAATAACTTAAAAAATCCAAGATGGGCTGGGGAGAGGGCTCCGTTGAGAAAGTCTGCTTCACAGATTATGAGGGTCTGAGTTTGGATTCCCCAGCCAGGTGTAGTGGTGCATGACTGTAATCCCGGTGCTGCGGCTGCTGGGACAGGAGGGTCCTGGAGAGGCTGGCCAGCCAGTCTAACCAAACAACAAAGTTCCAGGGTTCACTGAAGAAACCCTATGTAGAAAACAATAAGGTGGAGGGCTGGAGAGATGGCTCAGTGATTAAAAGCATTAGTTGCTCTTGTAGAATACATGGGTTCAATTTCTAGCACCCACATAGTGGTTCACAGACATCTGTAACTTCGGTCTCATGGAATCTGATGTCCTCTTCGGATCTTCATGGGCATCAACCTTGAATGTGGTACATACACCTGCATGTAGGCAAACACACACGCAAAATAAAATGAAGAAATTAAATTTTTTTTGAAAGGTAGAGACTAGTTGAGGAAGACACCCAGTGCCAACTTCTGGCCTCCAGGCCTCCACATATGTAGATGTGCGCGCGCGCACACACACACACACACACACACACACAGCCTCTACATATGTACATGCGTGCACACACACGCCCTCCACATATGCACACACATGTTTCCACATATGTACATGTGCACACACATACAACCTCCACATATGTACATTGTTCACACAGGCCTCCACATATGTACATGTGTGCACACATACCTCTATATATGTACATGTACTTGCACACATGCTGAACACACATGTACACATATGTATGTATCCACACACATGCTACACTCATGCACATGTACACATAAATACACACATGCATGGACGCACGGGCACAATGCAAATCTAAGGTGACTAGTCTCAGTTTTAATTTTCCTTGGATTCATTTTATTATCCTTTGCTCTGTTTGTTTATTTTTACTTTATGTAATAATCCTTAAGACCTCAGAAGAAATACCCGAATAGATACTAAGTTTCAAATGTCATCCATGAGGTAGACATTCTTATGAATTTTGGGTTCTGAACCTCATCTGGGTTTTTCAAATGATAAAATTTTTATAAAGAAAAAAAAACAACCTTTGAAACATGAAAAAGTTAATTGTTAGCTCATATAAAAGATTATAAATATAAAGATTATATAAAGTTTGTGGAAGTAACAGCAGAGTTTGTGTAGTTACATGAGGCATTGTTTGTTTTGTGTGAGGTCTGAGGGTGAGTCTATTCTGTAATTGACATCTTCCTCTCATAGTAGTTAGAGTTATGAGTATTTTACAGCCTGTGAATCTATGTTGTCATTTCCTGTGACTTATTCATACCTTCCCAGAGGTATTAAGCGATGTGCTCCTCATTTAACACTGAATTTCAGCATTATTTAAGGTGATGGGACTCTAACTAGCCTGAACATTACATCCATGGCTCTGGCAGGCCTTGCCCTTCTCCCCACGCCCTCTGCCTTGCTAAAAACCCTTGGATTCCATCCTAAAGCGGCCCCCAGGGTCTTTCCCTTGTTTGGCCACTTCCTCCTCTTGAGGCTGACTACCAAGGTCCAACTATCAAAGTAGTGAAGAAGTCCGGCAATCAAAGGCCCTCCTTAGCTCATCTAATTAACATGCCCAGTTAAAATTAAACACCACATCCTAGCACAGGGTTTCCCCTTTTACCTTTATAAACCACCGTTTGCCTATGAGCCATGTGTGTCTCCTTTCTGTCCGGAGGCAGTCATTTGCCCCCCCCTCCCCCAGGGAGACGACAAACTACCCCTTACCCTTCTCCCTTGTTCCCTTCCATTTCTCCCTTGGGCTCTATCTCTCCTTCTTTTTCTCTTATTTTCTGCCCTTTGTCCCTTGGGGCAAAAGAATCTCCTTTGTGCTGAGAACTTTGTCTTGGGTGTCCTGCGCTGTTCCTGGTCGCTAAATAAGGGATATCGCCTTTGTGTAGGAGGCGGTTGGATGTGGTTTGACCTTCTGAAGTCAAAATAGGAACCAGAACAGAAGAGAGACAGATGGGTGGGGCAGGTGGAGAGGCAGACTAAATGGAAGGGCAGTTTGGGAAAAGAGGTTTTTGTTTTCCTTAAGAGATGGGGCTTCACAGTGTTTCCCAGGCTAGCCTCGACCCCCCAGACTCAAGTTCTCCTTCTGCCGCAGCTCCTGGACCACTTTGGTGCCAGGTGAAGAGATGGTTAAAAATTAACTTTGGGGTTTTTTTGTTCTTCTTTTGCAGGCAGCAGTTGGCTATCTTGGCTGATTTAGTGAAAGATTTGCCATTGGAGTTTGACTTCCTCTTTTCACAGTCTCAGGCCGAAGTGATCTCTGGGAAGCAGGAAGGTACTGGGCTTGCGGGGTAGAGCTGAGTTGGCTCTGAGCTGGTCAGGGTTCGGTGCTTGGGATTGCTATGTGCATCCGATTTCCACTTTCCTGTCAAGAATTGTTTGTAGGTCCTGCACTAGTAGTCTGTTTCAGATGACTGCTTCTAGAAGTCTCACATTTATATCTGGTTTTAACTTAGCAGGAAGCACCTAGCATTTAATGATGATTCCAGATGGATCTTTGATTAGTCAATTGCACTTTTGGAAATATTCAGCTCTAGGAATTATGAGTAGTTTAAATGTAAAGCAAGTTATTACATTAAGGTGTGGGGAGACCTTAATTCAAGGAATGATTAGGCTGAGTTACTTTCCTTCTGTTCTGGGCTTTTCTTTTATCGTAATTACTATGCGGTCTTGTTGCTTCCCTTAACACACCCCTGCATTGATGTTTTCGTGTGGTACAGGCATGCCCAGAATGATTAGTTGCTACCACTTCTTTTCTGTTTTTGAGACAAGGTCTCACTCTGTAGCCGTTGCTGGTCAAGAACTTGCTGGCTGGCTTAAAGCTTAGAGCAATCCTCCTGCCTCTGCTTCCTAGTGCTGGGATTACAGGCGTGCACCAGCATGTCCATGTATTTCCATTTCTCTCTTTTTTTGTGAGTCAGGGCTTCTCTGTATATCTCTGGCTGTCTTGGAACTCACTGTAGACCAAGTTAGCCTATTCCCCTTTCTTGAAAGAGGTGATCTTGCAGCTAGAAGATGGCTCAGTTGGTAAAGTACTTGTCACACAAGCATGAGTTAGATCCTTCAGCACTCACATAAAACACCATGTGTGGTGACACACACCTGTAACCCCAGAGCTAGAGACACAGAGACAGGGGAGTTTCTGGGGCTTGCAGACTAGCCAGCCTAGCTGAATTGCCAAGAGACCCTGTCTTCAAAACAAGGTGGAGGGAGACTCAGGAAGACATCCAGTGTCATGGCTGGTCTCCATGTACACTTCCATGCTCATGTGCCATGTGGAAGAGAACCTAGAGCTCTTAACTACTGAGCCATCTCTCCAGCCCCTTTTGTTAGGTTCTTTCTATACACACACACACACACACACACACACACACACACAAATTAAAGAAAACCGTTTTAAAGGGGGTGTTTTTATATGTCTGCTAGTCACAGCCCACCAAAGGGAAGAGATTTATTTTTAAAAATTTAATCGTAAAGTTTCCATTTCCTTCTTAATGTTCTATTTCGTTGCTGGAGGGTGTGTGTGTGTGTGTTTCTTTGTTTGTTTGTTTGTCTGTTTTCTGTTCTGGTAAGACTGCTCATGTTTCTTGGTCACACAGCTACTTTACCATCTTTTTTCATTCCAGTTGGGATCGTTATCATCTCAAAGTTGACATCTTTTCAATCTCTTTTCCTTATGAGGTGACTTTTTTTTTCCTTGCTCTTTATGTGTCAGATAACTTCTTATTATACCCATGAGTATCATGAGATTCTGGGTTTTGTCAGAGAACACTGATTTTTGTTTTTTAAGTAGGCAGTTACAGTCATCAGGCTTCCAATCAACTTTGTACACTCCTTATGTGGCTTGGTTTCATTGTTTTATTTTATTTTATTCTTATTTATTGTGCATGTGTGTATCATGGCTCGTATGTGAAGCTTTTGGAAGTCATTTTTCTCCTTTCAAAATGTGGGCCCCAGGAATTGAGGTCAGATCCTCAGAATTGGCTGCAAGTGTCTTTAGCTACTGAGCTGTCTCACTAGCTCTGTACCAATGTTTTATTCTGCTCTTTACCAGAGTATGTGTGTAGAGTACTCAAATGAAACACCTTTCTCTGATGAGCTATTCACTGGCTCTCAATTATTAGTTTCTTAATTAAAGCTTTGACATTACTGTTTTGTCCTAGGTATATGAGCCAGTGGCCAGTCTGGGACTGGGTGATGAATTGTCCCACTGTTCCAAAAGCTGTGAATATATTGTTTAGGGTCAGATCCATGCATGTGTTTATTCACAGCTGTCCTCGGTGTCCTCACAGCTTTCCGGACACTTGCTGGTTCCTGGGAGCTCTTGTTCATGGATCTTTGGTCAGGAAATAGGCTTTCAGTTTGTCTACTTGGCCAAATTGTGATTGCATATGCATCCAGAGCCAAGTGGCCAGAGAACAAGGGGAGAAAAACAAAGAAATGTATTTCCCCATGTACTCGAGGCTATAGCTCCTCGCCAAAGAGAATTCACTTCCTTTAGCACTTTAGGTATCTGACAGAAGCAAGCTAGGCCCAGTGTGGTGGCACATATCTGTAATTGTATCACTCGGACTGAGACAGGACAGTTGCCCCAAGTCTGAAGGTACATAATGATGTGAATTGCAGACCAGCCTGGGCTACATAGCAAGGCCTTCAATAACAAAATGAAAAGGTCTGAGAAGATGGCCCGGTAAAGTTTTTTATGTCGTCAGCACCAGAGGCTGAATTTGGATCCCCAGCACTCACATAAAAAGTCAGGCATGATAGCTTGTGCCTGTAAAACCATCCCTGGGGAGCAGACATGGGAGATCCTAGGGCTTGTTGAGTTAGTGAACTAGGTTCAGTGAGTGACCTAGATATAGATATATAGTAAGTAAGATACAAAGCAGTAGCAGAAGATCACACACACACCCCGACACACTCACATACATACTCACACTGACACACTCACAGACATCCCCACACACACTCACACACACATACACCGACACACATACAGACACACACTCACAGACACCGACATACACACACACTCACAGACACTGAAACAACAGACACATACAGCAGGGTCTCACATACAGCCTGGTTGGCCTGGAACAAGATGTGCAGACCAGTCTGGGCTCATTCATAGAAATCCACCTGCCTCTGCCTCCTGGTGCTGGGGTTAGAGACATTTGCCACCATGTCTGGGCCTTGATGTAGTTTTGAACTGTTTTTTTGTTTGTTTGTTTGTTTTTCAAGACAGGGTTTCTCTGTGTAACAGTTGTTCTGGCTGGCCTGGAACTCGCTTCATAGACCAGGCTGGAGTTTTAAACGTTTTGGTTTGGTTTTTTTGTGGGAGAGTTGTTTTTTATGATTATTTCCTATTCTTTGTAGAATTGTTAGAAGTTACAAATAATTGCAGAAGGGAAGAAAATCACATGAAAAATGATATAGGTGTTTGGGGATGTAGGTAGCTTAGCATGCATGAGCCCTAGCTCCATTAGGGGTAGGGGTGGAGAGCAGTGTGCTAGATAGGGAGAGGAGGGGAAAGGAGAGAGAGAGAGAGAGAGAGAGAGAGAGAGAGAGAGAGAGAGAGAGAGAGAGAGAGTGACAGAGAGAGAGTGACAGAGAGAGAGTGACAGAGAGAGGGAGAGAGGGACAGATAGAGGGGGAGGGAGGGAGAGGACTTAAGGTCCATGCACTAAGAGTATGAAGTAGATGGGGACTAGAGAGATGGCTCAGTGGTTAAGAGCACTGGCTGCTCTTCCAGAGGACCTGGGTTCAATTCCCAGCACCCACGTGATAGTTCATAACTGTCTGTAACTCCTCTTCCAGGGGGATCTGACACCCTCACACAGACACACATGTAGGCAAAACACAATGCACATACCATAAACATAGATAAATCTTTTTTAAAAAAAAAAGTATGGAGAGGAATATTATGGTCCTTTTTATTTTTATTTTCCCAAGAAAAGGAGAAAAAGGGCACCCTTGGGAGGGGTGTGGTCTAGCAGTAGAGAATTATAGAGAGGCCTTTTCTATTTCTTCCTTAGGAGTTTATGCATGGATTGGAATCAACTTTGTTCTGGGACGATTTGACCATGAAGATGGTAAGTCGGTTCTGCCCCGTGTGACTCTAGAGGGGCTGCAGCGTCTCCAAGCTCTCAGTAGTGTGAACATGCTTGCTGGGAGCTTTTCTTCACCATCGTCTTCTTTTATGGGAAGCTTCAAATGTCTGTGAGTGCGGAAGTAACAAAATGAACGTGATGAACCCATCATCTAGTCTCAACAGATAGACTACTCTGCTACTTTTTGTGTCTGCTCTTGTTCCACAGAACACATTAAAGACTAATGCTCCACTGTTGTTATTGCTTAAACATTGTTTTTTGTGTGTGCATGAGGGTAGGCATGCACATGCCATGGTGCGTATGTAGAGAACAACATGCTGGGGTTGGGTCTTTCCTATCCCCACGGATATGTAGTTGAAATATTATATTTCAGCCATTTGAAACAATTGTTCTCTGTATGATATACATTCAATAGTTAGATTATTTTATTTTAGTTGATTTCAAGTTAAAAGCCAGAGCTTGTACCAGATAAGCCATCTTGCTGGCCTGGCAATTTTTTTTTTTTTTTTTTTGCCACGGGGGGTGGGAGTAGGAGTGGGAGGGGGTTGGGGTGTCTTTCTCTTTGGACTTGGTTTTTTATTTTTAATTCTTTGCTCCTGTGTCGTTGGTTTCAGAGTCAGATGCTGACGCTTCCCTGGACTCTGCAGCGGGACGCAGGAGGACCGTGGGGATACTGGACATGGGGGGAGCATCTCTGCAAATTGCCTATGAAGTCCCTACCTCAGCCTCTGTCCTTCCTCCCAAACAGGTATTTCTCCTTGTGTGGAGATTGAGTCAGAAGCGCCAGTGCAGGTGCAGGAAGGTCACTGTGTGAAGCTGCGCTGCCTGGGGCTGCAGTCCTGGAGTCCTGCATCTGTTCAGATAGTTGACTTACCTTTTTTCCTTTCTTCTTTCTCTTTCTTTCTTCCCTTTTTTTTTTTTTTTTTTTTTTTTTGCTCTCTTCCCCCCACCCCACCTCCCCAGATGTGGGTCTCACTGTGTGACCCTATCTGGCCTTGAACTCACAGGGATCTGCCTGCCTTTGCCTCATTAAAGGCCCGTGCCTGCCGCCACCCTGGCACTAGCTTGCATTATCTTGAGCTGGGTTCTGAGTGTTCAAAAGGCATAATATTATCTGTCTTACAAAGTTGTGAGGATATCAGTGTGAAGTACTTAGCAAGTGACCCACTGAGGATAAGTGTTGGATACATTTTAGCAGTTGTAATTAATACTGTGTATCTTCCGGGTTGCCTGGAGAGTATATATACAAGTCAGTCCTAGATACCATTCATATATACCGATTCCCCTACTCTTCCTTTCCTTCAGCTCTAATACTGTTTACCTACGTGTTCATGTATGTGTGGGTACACACATTTGTGTGCACATGTATGTGGTAGAGTCGATGTCTTCCTTGATCCTGTGTCACCGTCCTCTTTGAGGCAGGGTCTCTCACTGAACTTGGAACTTGCCTATTAGACTGGTTAGTCAGCAAGCCCCACGCGTGGGTCCTTTAGCCCTCTCATCCCCAACACTGGGATTATAGACATGTACTGCTAGTGTGTGTGTGTGTGTGTGTGTGTGTGTATAGTGGGTGCTTGTGTACGTGAGTGTGAATATCAAGACCCAAGATTGACAATACACATCTACTTTTGCATGTGAACAGTAAGGATCAAACTCAAACCTTCATTCTGTGCTTGGCAAGTACTTAGAGTCCCCCTGGCCCCATAATATATTTTGATACTAACTTTCCTTTTTCTTTTTGCGGCACTGTGAATTCATCTCAGGGTCCTGTAAATGCTAGGTGAGTGCTGTACCAGTGGGTTACATCTCCAGTCAAGAGTGTACTTTTAGGGAGAGGATTTCATTATAGAGAGAAAGAGAAGCCTCCTTTTTTGTTTGTTTGTTTTGTTTTGTTTCATTTTGATTTGTTTTTTTGAGAGCCTGTGTTGTTATCTGTGTTGTTTTGGAGCCTGTCCTGGAACTTGCTCTGTAGACCAGGCTGGCCTCAAATTCCCAGAGACCCTTTTGCCTCTGCTGGGATGAAAGGCATGCCCCAGCACCGCCTGGCTCTGAGAAGTACCCTTTTTAAACAGGAAGTATGCACAGGAAATAGGACGTACTGGTTACATTGACTCCAGAAGTCAGTGAGTCGGCCTGTGTCAGGCAGTCCTGGAATTTGATTTAAATCAGTGGTTCTCAACCTGTGGGTTTCAACCCCTTTTGGGGGTTTGGACAACCCTTTCCCAAGGGTCAAATATCAACCTGCATGTCAGATAAGTACAATATGACTTAGAACAATAGCAAAATTACAGTTATGCAGTAGCAACAGAAATAATTTTATGGTTGGGGTCACCACAACATGAGGAACTGGATTAAAGGATTGCAGCATTAGGAAGGCTGAGAACCACCGATCTAAACGATGGTTTCTCACCCTTGGTGCTGTTGATATTTGGGGCTGGAGTGGTCAGTGGCCTAGCCAGTGTAGGAGTTTCGGGGAAGGTTCTGGGGAGAGAGGATGGAATTGGATCACGAGGAGTCTTGAGAGTTGTTGGAGGGGGCTTGGTTTTCAGTTCTGTTGCTTGCAAGGAGCCAGCCCAAGTTTCAAGCAAGGAGGTCACATGAGCGTCAGCCCGTAGTTAGGCAAACTTGAAGGTCCTTCCCAACTGTCAGTTTTGTGGCCACATTGGCTGTGTGCTGGTCTGTGTGAGTAGGTGAGAGGGTCTTGAATGAGAATTTGCAGGGTTGAAGTAGACAGTGGAAATGGAATTGGATGGAAGGGGACATATTTCAGGAAATATTTGGAGCAAAAATCCAATTATATTTAGCTGAGTAGGTATGGTGTAGTGAGGGCAGGGACAGATCAGCAGATGCCCTGATGGTCCAGGCTGGAGAACTAGGAGGCTGAAGAGCCCAGCGAAGAAATGAGAATGCAGGGGAAGGGCAGGCAACAGTGGGGTCCTGAGCCGGGGTCAGAGCGAACAGAGGGGTCCTGAGCCGGGGTCAGAGCGAACAGAGGGGTCCTGAGCTGGGGTCATAGCGAACAGAGGGGTCCTGAGCCGGGGTCAGAGTGAACAGAGGGGTCCTGAGCTGGGGTCAGAGTGAACAGTGGGGTCCTGAGCCGGGGTCAGGGTGAACAGTGGGGTCCTGAGCCGGGGTCAGAGTGAACAGAGGGGTCCTGAGCCGGGGTCAGAGCGAACAGAGGGGTCCTGAGCTGGGGTCAGAGCATCTTTTGGGTCTCCTAACTCTGAAGTCCCATGGCTTCACGAGTTTAAAGTGACTCTCGCCTGTGGTCATTGCGCCTGAGGACTATGTGTGCATAGGGTTAGACAGCAGCAGTGCAATACTGACAGCACCAAGTTAGGCTCAGACACAGCAGTGCAGTGACTCAAAAACGCATGTTAGTGCCTGCTTAAGATGCAAAGACTGAGCAGCATCGCTTGGAATTCAGAACATTTCAACACTGCCAAAAGGAAACGCCAGTCCTTAGCAGTTACCTCCCATTGTCCCATCTTCACATCGCTTTCTACATCCAGGGATCTGCCTATTCTGGAATTTTCATATAATGAAACCATGCAGCATGGCCCTTTATGTCTGACTCTTAGAAAAATGTGACAAGGTGATATACATCGTGGTACGTACCAGCATGTCGCTGGCTTTGGTGGCTGAGTAACTGACCATCGAGTCACTGTTCCACGTTCCGTTGTTTCATTCATCATTGATTCATAGTTGAGTTGCTTCCACATTAGGTTATTATGGATAGTAGTGCTGTGAACACACCTTTGTGAAGACATAAGTTTTTAGATCTCTTAGGTATAAATCTAGGAGTAGATTTATTGCTAGGTGCAGTAATATGTTCACAAATTAAAAATACACAATCCAAATAGTTATTTCTGTTTGCAATAATACTCATTAAAAAAATTACATGAGAAGCATATTGGGATTGTCATTTATAGTGGGGGTAGGGCTAGGACTGGACATGAGGATGAACAGGAAGGATTAGACCAGAAGAGGGCTTTGCTGTGGATTGGACGACAAGCTCAGGGACATAATTTAATCTCTACACTTAATGTTAAAAACCCCAAACAAGGCAGATGAATCTCTGTGAGTTTGAAGCCAGCCTGATCTATATAGTGAGTATCAGACCAGCCATGGCTACACAGTGAGTCCCTGCTTGAAACCAAAAAATAGAAAATACCCAAGCAACAAAACCTCCCTTATTTTGAAGTTAAAACCAAACTTTCCCAACGCCCAAGCCTGTCACAGGAAATAGTAAAGCTTTTTGAATAGTTCTAGACAAGGTCATAAAATAGATCTTACAATGATCTTTTCTTTGTTAAATGATTTTTTTCTAGTTATGAAGACAGTAATTCCCATTGTAGGGAAATATAGAAGTCCATACCAGGAAATGGCATGGACTGTAAATGAACCCCTCATTGCTCTCACAAGATACCTGACAAAAACAAGAGGAGGGGCACTTGGGCTTCCATTTTGAGGGGACACAGTCCATCGTGATGGGGAAGGCATGGCGGGAGTGCGGCGGCTGGTCATGTGACATCTGGCCAGGAAGCAGAGAGAGGAGAATGCAGGTGTTCAGCTGCTCTTCTCTCTTCATTCAGTCAAGACCGCAGCCCATGGAATTGTGCTGCCCTCATTCAGGGTGGTCCTCTCTCTCCACCTAAGCCTCTTGGGAAATGACTGTGCGCGTGCGCGTGCGCGCGCGCACATACACACACACACACACACACACACACACACACACACACACACACACACAGGGCCTTGCTACCAACTCAGAGTCTTTGGATTTGTGATCCTCCTGCCTCAGCTGCATGGGTGCTGGGATTACAGGAGTGCTTTACAGCGGCTGGCCATGAGAGTGGAAGGCTATTTTAAAGAGCAATCACAGAAATGGAGCCCAGTGATTCACACTGCTTTGTAGAATGGAACCAAACCCCATTTTTCTCTTATGTTGCATTACAGGAGGAAGAGGCCAAGATCCTGTTGGCTGAGTTCAACTTGGGCTGTGACGTGCAGCACACGGAGCATGTGTACAGGGTCTACGTCACCACCTTTCTGGGCTTTGGAGGCAACTTTGCCCGGCAGCGTTATGAAGAGCTTGTGCTGAACGAGACGCTTAACAGAAACAGGTGCGGTTGACATGGAATCCTTATTTCTACCACGCTACAGATGTTAGGAAAAAGATACTGACATCCAGCTACGATGGCTGAGCCTGCTTCTTCCTTTTCCGCCGTGTCTCAGCCCCTGCTCTGCAAGGGAACATCTGTGTTTTAGTAGTAAGGCTGGAAAAATGTCCATCTTTTGTGTTACTTTGCTGTATCCACAGCCACACCTGACATCATGAGATGTTTGCGGCCGGGAAAAACAGATTAGCTCCTCTCACATGAGAGTTAGGTTTGCTCGTGTCCATTAAACTCAACAAGTGTGTAAAGTTAAAATTGCCTTTGAAATAGTGTTCAAGTCTTGAATGGTCAGTTTTTCACGCAGAATTGAAAAGATGACTGATTTCCTTACGAAGGTTTTATTTTTATTTATGTGTATGGGTGTGATTTAATATGTATAGGTGTCTGTATAGGGCATTGGATTCCTAGGGGCTGGAGTTGTAGTTGATTGTGTGCCACCCCATGTGGGTGCGGGGAACTGGTCTTAGGTCCTCTTCAAAAGCAGGATCTTAACAGCCAAGCCACTCTTCAGCCCTGAGATCACTGATGTGTCATTCGATTACCTTCAGGCCATAATGAATAGCTGTGAAGTAACTGTCCTTATTTGTTTGTTTTTATTATTTAAATTTATTTACCATCGTGAAGATAAATAAACAACGATTCTTTTCTTTCAAACAATTATTTCCATCCATTGGTTTAGCAAGAAAAACTAACCTAAAGAGGCACTGGTGTATCCCACTTATAATAATTCCTCCATAGCAGTTGTCTTAGAGCGAGAAAATATTGAATACTGTCTCATCAGCCTTTTTAATGGTTTAAGCCGCCATCACTAAGAGTTAATGGAGCGTTGGGGGATTCAGATGTTCTGGATGATGGCATGAACATCACAGAGTGTTTCTGTTAGTCTGCACAAGCTGACTTGAGCTGGGGCACTCATTGCTCCTGCTGGTTCTGTATCCCTGGAGATCCTGGCTCCGAAGCTTCGCACAGGTGCCAGTTCATTCTTTCTGCAGTAACTGCTGTGCCTTCTGCCTCTGCCGCGCTGCACTTTCTTCTGTTGCTCTTGCTGGGCTGCACCTTGGCACTTTCTGGCCAATCTCTGAACTTGTCTACTGTGGAATTGTTGAGGTCAAAGTATGGCTCCATAGCTGCCAGTCTGCCAGACAAACCTGCCCTCCTGGGATGGTTCTCACTGCCTGATAAACATTTTCCTTGTACTTAGTGACACATCATTGAAATAGTCAGATTCCATTTATTCCCGAGCATTCTGTTGTGTTGCCTCTTCCCGTGTCCTTCTTCAATTTCTGATCATTCATGCATCTTCACCCGAAAAACTTGTCCACTGTCCACGCTCTAGAAGTGGTGGCACCTGGAGGAATGGAGCTGGTAAACGAAACAGACTCAGGTCTCAACAATTGCCAACTTTATTCAGGGCCTAAGACAATTTATATTCTGAGGGTTAAGAAAGGTCACGTTGAGTTCAAGCTGTATACAATCACAAGGACAAGCCACACGCGACAAAACCATGTTTTTCCATACAGGCATATAAAGGATAGTTTAAACATTTATTGAATAACAGCAACAAGCAATGATAAGTAATCTGAAATAAACTCACTGCGATCTGATACACCTGGGAGAGTGTGACAACACATCCCAAGATCAAGTCTGTGTTTTGAAGAAACTGAGGTCACAAGACTCTTGTCTTGTTTTCTTGGAGTGTTCTCACAAGCATCCAGAATCTTCACACGGACCCCTTCCTGGATGGCGTTGGCAGTCCACTGCTGTGCACACCAGGCTAGCTGGCCCTTCAGCTTCCAGGGAGTTTTCTGTCTGCCTCCTGTCTCCCTGTAAGGCACTTGGATAGTCACACACCCATGGCTATTCCATGGGTTCTGAGGATTCAAACTCACAGATTCACACTTGTGCAGCGAGTGCTGTACCTCCCCCCCCTCATCCCCCCTCCATCTCTCTAGTCCCCAGCTGTGTGTTAAACAGGAATCCCTTGGGCATTCCAGATGTTAGTGGGAACTAAGGCCAGAGGGAGAATAGCAGATTCACAGCTCCTATTTGAATCTACGCTGGGAAATCCATGTTGATGGTAGGGTTGAGTAAAATCCATCACTGGTATAATCTCTTCTTTCTAAACTTAATCTGCTTAAATTTAATATGCATACTTTGCTGCTTCATAGAAATAGAAATAGAGTCCTTGTTGGCTAGGATTGTCAGTGAAAATCAGATTTGTGAAGTGAATTTTGTTCTCATTCTGTTTTTGTCATTGTGACAGACTGCTGGGCCAGAAGACAGGCCTGAGTCCTGACAACCCATTTCTGGACCCCTGCTTGCCTGTGGGGCTCACAGATGTGGTGGAGAGGAACAGCCAGGTCCTGCATGTCCGAGGAAAGGGAGACTGGGCCACTTGTAGGGCAATGCTGAGCCCCCTGCTGGCCCGCTCCAACACCAGCCAGGCCTCACTAAATGGCATTTACCAGTCACCAATCGACTTCAACAACAGCGAGTTCTACGGCTTCTCTGAATTTTTTTACTGTACAGAGGATGTGTTGCGCATCGGTGGCCGCTACCACGGGCCAACGTTTGCCAAGGCTGCTCAGGTAACTCATTAATAATCAAGATGATTAATGCTGGCAGCTGCCATTTAGTGGATGCCTGCCTTTGTGCCAGGCAGTGTACAAAGGGCTTTGCATGGATGATCTCACTTGAGTCTTTATATAAGAGCCTCTGAGTCCTCAGAGGTTAAGGGACCATCTCTGCCTTCTAGTTGAATATGTTTAGGTTTACATGGGTGTGTATTATCACCGAGGTATAAAATTGTTCTAATGGTGCATAGTTAGCTTTTCTTCCAACTTCCCTGGTTTTTATGGCTCAGAGGTATCATGTTTTCCCCTTTGCTAGGTGTCTGGCTTGTAAGGTGCTCTTGGTGGATGGGACTGGTTTTCTTTTCTTGGTTTGCACTATCAAGAGGCCAGAGTTGGGGCTGCAAAGATGGCTCAGTGGCAAAGCAATTGTTGCTCTTCAGGGGACCAGTGTTCGGTTCCCAGCATCCATGTTGGTAGCTTACAACAAACTGCTGTAAAAATCCAGCTCCAAGGACTCTGATGCTGTTTTCTGGTCTCTTTGGACACCCACATGTGTGCATCCCATGTGCGCGCGCGCACGCCCACACACACACACACACACACACAAAACCAAAAAAACAAAAAACAAAACCCAATCTTTAAAAAGAGGCCAGAATGATAGAAGGTCATTGATAGAAGGCATTGTAAACCCTAGTAATGGTAGAAATATTTTTCTAAGTGAAAGAGTAAAAATTCACTTTGCACATATATAGAACTTAAATATCTTACGGGCTTACATCTTTAGTCACCAGTACAACTAAAAATTTGATCTGCTCTCTGTATCTGCTGCCTTAGTTTAGAGTCTGTGTTAGTTAAGTTTGTTGTTTCTCATTTTGTTTTTTGGTTTTGTGAATTGTTTTTGAAACAATCTCACTATGCTGCCTTGGCTAGCCTGGAACTTGCTATAGAGACCAGGCTGGCCTCCTTACCTCTGCCTCTCAAGTGCTGGGATGAGAGATGTGTATCACCACACCTAATTTTGTTAGTCAATTAAAAAGGATCTATAAGCTGGGAGGTGGTGGCGCACATCTTTCATCCCAGCATTCAGGAGGAAGAGGCAAACAGAGCAGGTGCCAGGACAGCCAGGGCTACACAGAGAGACCCTGTCTCTGCCGGGGGGGGGGGGGCGGCGCAATAAAAAATAAAAAGATCACTGTAACAAAATACTTGCAATGTTCAGCTTAGAACAAGTTTGTTTTGTCTCACAGTTTATAGGTCCCAGTCCATGGTCATCTGGCCCCTTTGCTTTGGCATATCATGGTGGATACATGGTAGAGTCTGAGTGCAAAGAGAGTATAGAGGAAGCTGGGAAGCTGCGCTGCCCCCAATGAGCTGCTCACTAGTCCTCATTTAAGGACTGTGTCCCACCATGTCCCAACAGTGCCACCCAGGGGCCAAGTCTCTAATACACAAGTCTTAGGGAACATTCTAGATTCCAGAGCCATGCCTTTGACTTTTGTATAATTTGGGACCTCTCTCTTGTATTTTTTTATGCTGTCCTTTCTTCCTGTAGTTCCCTTAGGTTCTCTTGGGGTAAACTTCCAATAGACTATCACCTGCAGTTTCTGCTACCCTACCCCAAGGGCAGTCCAGGGAGGACGGCGGCGCTCCTGCTTCATGCTCCTCTTCTCCAGCCGAGGGATCTCTTCTTCCTTACCCCCCAGGGTCCAGGGCTCCCTGACTGGCCTGGCTTGTGTCCTTTTCTTGCCACAAAGATTCTTCAGATTCTGTTGTTTTGAACACAATGGGCTCAAGTGATTGCTTAGCCAAGTCATTAGTGATTTAGGAAGTTTTCTGAGGTGAAGGAAGTTGTTCCCTTGACTTTTTTAAAAGTCCAGTTTTAAATAGTTGTCTGCACCTTTCCTAGATTTGCGATCGCAGTTACCACTCTCCTCTTACTATCCGTTACCTTCCCGGCTTTATTTTTCCACTCAGCACAGTGCCATTTTGCGAACTCTCTGATGCCCATTTGTGTAGTCTCTTAGCAGTAGAAAGGAAGCTTCATGGGGACAGGACTTTTTCCTCACCACTTCACCCTCTGGCACATAGGAGAGCACCTGGCACCCGGCAGGCAGCAGACTTTTTTTTGCCTGAACCAACCAAAAACAGTCAGGCTGATGACGGCTGCTCTCCCCGTATAGGAGTTCCCTGCAGAGTGGGAGGGAACGAGCTCCCTGGCTTTTGATATTATTCTTAGTCCTAACCTTCGGGCTTTCTGCCGCCTAACCAGCTCAGGAGCCAGCTTGTTCTGCTTTTTATCAGACACAGAAGCAATGGGAGCAGAGGAGCATGGCGTCCTGTTCAGTGGTCCAGTGTGCCTGCCATTCAGTGCCATCCATTTTCCTCGGCGAGAACTGGAAATGGGGCAGCTGTGTCCTGGGAAAGCTGGAGAATCCGCCTGTGATTTCGTGTTGCTGTAACTGTTTCCTGTGTTCTTGTTCCAGGATTACTGTGGCATGGCGTGGTCAGTACTAGCACAGAGATTCAAGAATGGCCTCTTTTCTTCACACGCAGATGAGCATCGACTCAAGTAAGTAAATGGCTTTTCCTATTTAGATTCAGCCTTAAAACATGGGTGGCAGATTATAATGGAGAATCCGCGAACTGTACAGATTGGATTTTAGGCCGAAGGAGAATTTGATCACTTCAGATTTTGAAGGATTAGGCTCAAGCAGTGAACCTGTTTCTGTGGCAGGAAACCAATAGCTACCAAAGAGCACTCCCTCCAAGTGAAGAGTATCAACAGTGATGACCTTTTTTATTTTAAACATTTTACTATAGAAAATTAGCTGAAAAGTAGAGTCTTAGGGTCTCTATTCCTGTGAAGAGACAGCATGACCATGGCAACTCTTATAGAGGAAAGCATTTAATTGTGGGGCTGGCTTACATTTCAGAACTTCAGTCCATTACCATCATGGCAGGAGTCAAGACAGCGTGCAGGCAGACATGGTGCTGGAGAGGGAGCTCAGAGTTCTTACATCTTGATTCACAGACGACAGGAAGTGGTCTGAAACACTGGGTGCAGTTTAAGCACATATGAGACCTTAGAGCCCCCTTCACAGTGACAGGCTTCCTCTGACAAAGCCACAACCACTTCAACAGGGCCACATTTCTTTTAAGAGTGCCAACACCTTTGGGGGCCATTTTCTTTCAAACCACCACAAGTAGAAATAAAAATGTAACTATTACCTAGCTTCAAATTTTTTTCAAGGATTCATAATCTTGTCATTTATATAAATGTTTATTTTTTGAAAATTTCAAAGGTGCCAGGCATAGTGGTACACACTTCAATCCCAGAACTCAGGCAAAGGCTGGTGAATCTCTGAGTTCAAGGCCAGCCTGGTCTACAGAGTGAGTTCCAGGACAGCCAGAACTACAAAGAGAAAATAAAACAACAACAAAAAGAGAAGAAAAGGAGAAAAAAAAGAGAAAAGACAAATTCAAAGGCACAAACAAACATAAAATATCACAATGAATCTCTGTAAATCTGTCACCCAGCTTCCCTAATGACAGTAACTCCTGCCAGTCTGGTTTTTCATTTATGCAAATCATGGATGTTGTACAAACACATCATAGTTATTTCAGGATGTTCTCCGAAGACAGGGATTGTGAAAACCAAAACAGGAGGAAACCACAGCCACAGGGTCAAATTTGGCTCTACCCAGAGGTGAGAAGGCAGGGCACGGAGAGGCTGATCGCTTGACATCTGACAGAAAAGCATAGGTTCCTACAAAGGGGAACGTATTGCCGTTATATTTTCTTCTTATTTTTTTAAAGCTTAAGGAATTTCCTTCTTGCCACTCAGGTATCAGTGTTTTAAGTCAGCTTGGATGTACCAAGTCCTGCATGAGGGTTTCCACTTCCCCTACGACTACCCAAACCTTCAGACTGCGCAGCTGGTGTATGACCGGGAGGTGCAATGGACACTGGGAGCCATTCTGTATAAAACCCGATTCCTGCCTCTCAGGTAAAGTCAGACTAACCAGGCTGGTCCCCTGACCTCAGAGGACGTTAAGTTGATGCCTCAGAATAGATGTCTCTAGCAAGCCACCCCACCCCTCCACCCTCAGGAGCCTCCCATTGATCCTTCCCTCTGAGCCACTGTTCCAGTCAGGCATGCCGAAGCAGAGAGGTTGAGATGAATTGTTCTGGAATCCCTCCCTTGTTTGTTCTCCTCTAACAGATGGCTCTTTAGGTTTGGCTCATACTGAACACATCTAGGATACATACTGATCACCTTAAGTTAGTCTAGAAAACATAGTTGACAAGGAGTTGAAGGAGGCTGTCTGGGCAAAGTACTCTTTCCCAGTGGATAGAACCATTCCAGTAATGGTGTCGTTGACCTGGCAGTTTGTGGTGATCTAGCATTAGAAAAAGGACCGGGGACGGTTTTAAGATGGGTCTTTTCATCCAGTTGTGGGAGAGCCATGCTTTGCCGCTGTGTGCTGTTGCTTTAAGATATTTGGGGCATGGGAGGCCTCTTTCCTGGGACAGGTTCAGATAAAGTAAGATGTGCTTCTACTCTCTTGTGTCTGATCTTCCAAACTCTGTGATCAGGAACCAGATGGGGACAGATGTGCGGGAGGTGGAGAACCAGTGGGCACCAACTAAAGTACTAACTCCTGTCACACACAGGTGCTACCTGGCCCAGCAATTGCCAGTTCTCATTTTCCAGAGAAACCAGAAATCCCTATTTTATAATGAAACCTTTCCTTTTGAAGAATTTTGAAGAATTACATATATATATATATATATATATATATATATATATATATATTTAAGATTTTTGTTTTTGCTTATTTTTATTTTATGTGCATTGATGATTTGCTTTCATGTGTGTCTGTGTGAAGGTGTCAGGTCCTCTGGAACTGGAGTTAAAGACAGCTGTGAGCTGCCATGTGGTCCTGGAAATTGAACCCTGGTCAATGCTCTTAACTGCTGTCCAGCCCCCAAAGAATTAACATTTTTAAAAAACATTGCAGGTCATACTAACAAAAATGGATCTAGGACCTGGATGATGCAAGAGTGGCATCCCAGCCAGGCCAATAGACCAGGGCTCTTTGGTTTATATCATGCTGTTTTTCCAGGTGATACTATAGTTGGTCAGGTCACAACTGCCTTCATGCATATAAATGCTAGAACCTAAGAAACGCTGCAACTTTTTTCTAAGGTCTAGGTGCATTTCCATTTGTCATGTTTGGGGACACTCTATTCTTTGTTTACCAACTGTATGTGAAGGTTTATGTTACAGCCTGGTGTGGTGGTGAACACTTTTAATCCCAGCATTCAGGAGGCAGAGGCAGGTGGATATCTGTGAGTTGAAGGCCAGTCTAAACTACAGTACTGAGTTCCAGGATAGCCAGGGTTATATAGACTCTATCTCAAAACAGCAAAAGTCCCTAAAAAGAAGCGAACAACAACAACTAAAGCCCACAAATCAACAACAGCAGAAAACCAACCAACCAAACAAACAAAAAATCCCAACAATATCAAAAGATTTATTTTGCAGGTGACCAGTTTTGTCTTTCTGTTTACTTTTTAAAAAACTTTAGTTACAATGCCTTCTGATTTTGTCTCCACCTTCTGCAATATCTGAGCCCACAAGGTTCCTCCTCCCGAAGCCCAGGGACAGGAAGGTGCAGGAGGAATCAGTCTGCCCTTGGGCTGGGGATGTTGAGCTTTGCTTGCTCTGTGCACAGCTGGTTTTATAGGATGTTTGAGTGGATGGGGAAGTGGGATAAACCCGGATGGACCCTTCAGATCACAGCCAATGTTCCACTCTGAAACTAATAGTTCTTTCCACTCCGTAGGGACCTCCGGCAGGGAGGTGTCCGGCAAGCCCATGGCGGCTGGCTCCGTCTCTCCTTTGTCTACAACCACTATCTCTTCTTCGCTTGTACCCTGGTGGTGCTGCTGGCTATCATCCTGTACCTTCTGCGAATCCACAGAATTCACCGCCGACAAACTCGAGCCTCGGCCCCATTGGACCTGCTGTGGATCGAACAGGTGGTGCCGATGATTGGGGTGCAGGTGGAGCCATGAGGCTGGACCAGATGGAGAAACTCTGGTACCTAGGATCGCTGCTCATGGTTTTCCTCCACTTTCCTCAGCTGGCCTCAGATGCTGCTTTGGCCTGGGAATTTCTACTGTTTCACTTTGATTTCTTTATAGTGCCCGGGACAGGACCTTTAGTCAGAAGCCGTAACCTAACCTGTGAAGAACTAAGAGGGGAGAGGCCGGTGCTAACACAGGGGTCTAAGCTTAGCCCAAATGAAGCATGCTTCTCCTTTATCCTGGAAATGTGGTATGTTTCTGGGATGTAGCATTTTCCCCTCTTGCTGAAGCAAGTTTTTGTATCGAGCAACTGGAATCACGGTTGAAACTAAGTTGGATCGACAGATACAAAGCCAGAGACATCCCAGCAAGTGCAGTAGCCCCTGCTTTCTCTGTAACAGAGATATCCTTATGTGGAGATCCACAGCCTTGAATAGGGACCCAAGATCTCTGAGGTTCAGTGGACCAGGATCTCAAGGCAACCAAAACGATACAACTTCCTTGCTGACTTGACATCCCTGACAGTGTTGCCGATTATGTATAGATCTGAGAGGTTAGAACCCCTTTTAAATGAATGATCCATTGACGATCTGACAGTATTCAGATGCTTGTTCTGACCAGGTAGAAAACACTTCCATGTCTATGTACCTAGCAGGCTGCCTGGGCATCAGTGTTGCCTTTTGAGCCCTAAGTGTGCTTATAGGGTGGAGAGACTGAGGGGAACTGGGGACCTGGTTTGCCTGTTTTCAGGTTACTGTCTCACAGGCAAGTTTTCCTGTGCAGAAAATTCAAAGCAACTTCCCTCATTTCACTGCTATGTATTTTGGGTGGGATGTTTTTGGGGTCCTTTATTTACGGAAGAATAATATCAAGAGAATAGACAAAGGCAGTATAATCAAAGTTTGTTTTTTGTTTTGTTTTCCTGTTTGTTTTTTGAGACAGGGTCTCACTGTGTCCATAGCTCTGGCTGTTCTGGAATTCATTCTGTAGACCAGCCTGGCCTGAATTCAAATTCAGAGATCTGTGTGTCTCTCTGTCTCCTGAGTGCCGGGATCAAAGGCGTGTGCCACCATGCCCGGCTTAAAATCACAAGTTCTTACCTATTTTTGAAATGCTTGATAGAGAGTCGAATCTAAACTTTGGAATAACTAGATAAATCTTCCATGGAGCAGCCTGCCAGCTTTTGGACATGTGTCAAATAGTGTTCCCTTTACTGGGGAGAGGAAAGCCATGTCCATGTTCTTACCCAGGCCTCTGGGAAACTGGCCCTCTGCAGCCAGCCTTTCAGTTGCATAGAGTTGGTGTTCATTAGCTCCTCCCTGCCTCTGGGCTCTGTTTTCCATAGAAAACTGTGAGGGGCCTGCCTGGGATTGTTCCCAGGGCTGAAGTACCAGCTTTATCTCTTCTTTTTGGGAGTAAGGCAAATCTCTTGAACCCAATTTTTTTGGTAGCCAAGGCTAACCTTGAACTCCTGGTCCTTCTGCCTCCATCTCCTCGAAGTGCTGGGTTTAAAGGTGTACACCACCAGCCTGGCTCATTCCCTTTTCATTTTGCCAAAGCCTTTTATTTGTAGAGTTAGAATAGAGAGAAAGTGTAAATTTAAAGAATAAAAATGGATTTCTTTGAAAATAAATTCCATACTGGGAACAGAAAGGAATGAAATGCTTTAAGAAATAGGGGGGAAAAAAACTAAGGTAGTCCTAGGGATGAGCCAAGGTGAAGATAAGTGTATGGACTCTCCAGTTAGGCAAGTCGTCAACTATCTTCTTTTTTTCCTGTTTTGAGGCAGGGTCTCTATGTAACCCAGGCTGGCCTGGTACTCAGTGGTCCTTCCGCCTTAGCCTCCCAAGTGCTGTGATTATAGGTATGTGCCACCACGTGTGCACATTAGATAAGTAGTAACCTAGCAAAGATTCTTTTACTTCTACATATTTTACTTCTCATCAGGACTATGTCATTGACAGTTCTTTTAAATTTTAAGATTCTCTTTAATTTTAATTTTTATGTCCTATGAGTGAGCCTTTGCCTTTTTAATGCTGCTTTAAGATGACAAAAATGTTCTTGCTAGCCATTTGCCTCCTCAGGGAATTTTTAATTCCATCTTGGTTTCTGTATACCAGTTTCGGTGTTCTTGGGAGATCTCATCAGACGTTAACAGTGGTCATATTCATGTGCTCAAACTGAAGTTGGAGGGAGGAGGTAATCAGTCCAGTTCTGAAGCTCTCCTTACTGCTTACTCTTTACCCTGACGGTACTAGTAGCTACCATTTATCAAGCACTTATTTTGTATTGCTCTTTAGAACTTTATGTGTTCTTTGTTTATTGTTTAATCATGACAGCTTTTTGGATTGATAAGCCCTACATTCTTTTTATAGTTGAAAAAAAATCTCAGGATGCCTATCTTGATCATTTTTCAATATAAATATATTTCTTAATTTATTTGAATTAGTCTTTGAGTTTTTGTTTGGTCAGTTATATCCTGTTTACTGTTTTAATGTTACAGGGTCCACACTTCCCAAAGTCCATAGGTTAAGAACAAGAAGGGACACAGTTACGTGGTTGAGAAGACCTGACCAAACTGCCCTTGATGGTCCCTGGGTGCTTCCATAACTCCATCGGGTAGACTTCCAGTGGGGTCTTGGTAGCCAAGTTTTCACTACACCTGTTTTAGAATTTTTTTTTCCCTTTTAATACTTTAGGTTTTACTTTTAAGCAATTAGCTTAACTTTACATAATTTTTCCCTAACATTCCAGTATCATAAATACAATCTGAGTGAAGGTACAACTGCCTAATAGAGATATCTACCTCATTATAGAATGTGGTGGTGATTCTTGGGGTTAGTGTGAGTTCATTTCAGATGGGACTAGGGATTGCAGTCGGAGTAGCAGTGGCTGTTTTGGAATCTCCTAAATTGGCCTCCTACCTTCTGCTCAGCCTCAGTCTTCCTGTCTGTCAGAATGATGGACTGCTGCCAGATTTGTGAAGATTTTGTTTGTGTTCCAAAAATTGGTATGTTCAAAAGTGAGGACTCAAAACCAAGTTTTGGCACCTTTGACTAACAATAGAGTAACAAATATTTTTGTAAACAGTGAATGTATCTGAAATCAAATACTTTTAGGTAAAATTCTGAATTCGGAGTGGCTGTCCTCGGTTTCCACCTTGCTCCAAACTTGGACCTGATGTAACTGGAAAGGCTCTGCACCCTACTTGGGTTTCTGTCCATCCCGGGCTTCCTGTTTCTGTGGGCGGCTCATTAAGGTCCTATTTTAAGCCAGCTTTGTCTTGTTTTATATCTCAATAGGCTGTTATTGTAGTGTTTCACCTTTCCCTTTCCCCCTAGTATTTCATTATTTTTGCTTATTAATACTACTAGAAGGACAGAGGGAAATCACACACCAACAGACCATTTTGTTTTTTGGAAATCTGGGCAATAAAGAGACCCTTTTATATTGTAAAGTAGAATTATTGTTCATACATAAGGGCTTCCATTTTTTTTTTTTCAATTATGAGAAGATCATTGCTTCCATTTTTATAAAAAACCAGTTGAAAATGTTCTGAGTAATAGGATGTTTTAGTCATGTATGCATGGTGGACAAGCTTGAAGAGGTAGCTGTCCCTCTACCTCTGCATGCATGTGCATGTATAGTGTACACTCCCCTGTCATACACACACACACACTAATAATTTTTTTTTTGTAAATTCTTAAAAAGATTAAATGATATCCTCCCTGCGATATATTGAGAGTCAACCGTCAACCCTCGACACAAGGGTTTATTAAAAAAAAAAAAAAAAAGATTAAAAGATGTCATAAGAGTTATGGCTTAAGCAACCTAATAGGGCTTGTAATAGAAAAAAAAATTAAATCTTGGTTTGTTTGAAAATACATGTTTTAATTACCTTTATGTTTAAAAACAATTGACAGAACTGTTGACAAACTATTGACAAACATTAAAGGAAATTTATTTGATCCTTTGTGCAGTGGCTTTTTCTGAAATAGACATTTGAAACATTGGAATCAGTAACTGTATTCTTCTCCACCAGTTCCTGCTTTCTTCATTCAGTATTTGGTATTTATCTGGTGACAGCAAATTATGCAAATACAAGGCAAGACAGTTAAGATGATCTCTGTTCAACAGAAAGCATAATGTAGTTAAAGAGCTAAATACCATCTGTTTTGGACATGCTCAACTGTAATAAAAATTAGGTAAACCTGAAGCTGGAGCTGACTCAGGATGCCACTTGCTTGAAGTAACCAAAACATCAGGCTACACAGAGAAACCCTGTTTGAAAAACACAGCACATTCCTGTTCCAAGAGCTTGGATGTAGTGGGTCTAGGATATGACTTGAGTTCTGAGGTTGAGAGAACCTCTTCCATGCAATAGCACAAGCCCAGGAGGGACTGGGACTAGGGAAGTAAACCAGCTGTCTTTATTTTGCTGAGAACAGTTTAATAAAGCTGTACCCTTTAGGATACACAAACTCACAGAATACTAGAGTTGAAAGAAACTGGTCATCTGGTTCAGAAACTGCAGGTTGTAAACATTTAACTTTCAGGGGGTGGGGTCAAAACAGAGTTTCTCTGTGTAGCCTTAGGTATCCTGGAACTTACTCTGAAGACCAGGCTGGCCAACTCACAGTAATCCACTTGTCTCTGCCTCCAAAATGCTGGGATTAAAGGTGTGTGCCACCACTGCCTGGCTAACATTTCATTTTAATAATATTCACTCCAGGGCTGGAGACACAGCTCAGCTGTTGAATGCTCGGTGCTCTTACAGAGGACCCGTGTTTGGTTACCAGCGCCCATATCAGGCAGCTTACAATCACCTATAACTCCAGCTCTAGGGGACTCAGCACTTACCCTGCCTCCATGGGCATCTGTACACACATGGCATATGTTAATATAAACACACACACACACACACACACACACACACACACACACACACACACACGCATCTTCACTTCAAAATCTAGCTAGTTAGCTGCTTTAAAAATCCAGAAGATATGACAACCCTATGTGTTGATCACAAACCAACATTCAGTTACTGGTCCAGTAACTCTGTTGGGGCCCGGTTCTTGAGTCTGTCACTGTCATCCCCAGCCTGACTAGTGGACAGGATTCTGTTGCACAAGGACACAGAAGCCCAAGATCTTCCTAACACTAAGAAAAGCCAGGCTGCCTATTAAGAAGCAGCAAATAACAGACACTTATTTCTGCAACAGATTTTAAAGGGAACCTCTGGTGTAAGCACACCTTAGTGACATTCTTGATGCAGTACCCATCTCAAACAATCTTGAGAGACTTGACCAATTTGGAAACCATGTGGCACGCAAAGGCCACCCGCCTAAGTTCTTGTGCTTGCTGATGAATTTCCAAGGGAGTTTCAGTCCTAGGAAGTGATCTTCAGAATTATTTTGGGACTCTTCTGAGTTCACTCATGAGCCAAAGGGCACCACTGAGCAGAGCCAAGGAGCCTGACTGGTGTGTGGCAGCCAGGGGAGTTGGAACATACATAAGCAGAGTGCTAATGCCCAAGGCCACCTGTTGCAGAAGAAAGAAAGGAATTCTGAAATGTGTGTGGGCAGCCAGATCCACACGCCTCCAGGATGCCACATCACAGCATTAAGAAGCATGCATTTGATGTCTTAAGCAACCGTACAATATGTAAATCAATGAAATTAAATGGAATAGGTAACCCTAAAATTCTCTTAGTTATCCTCTATCTATTCTTTATTCTCTTAGAGACTGGGCCTCACTCTAGTCCATGCTGGTCCAGAACTCATGCTGCTAGCAACCCTCTTCTTTAGTCTCCTGAGTGCTGGGATTATAGACACGAGCTACCACAAACCAGCTTCTACCTGTCCTATTCTACATCAGTAGTTACCGTTACCAGTTTCTATATGCCTTATTTTCATGTATGTGGTTACTGAGAGATAGAGATTTTCATTTTTGTTTGTTGGAGGCAGAGTTTCACTGTATCACTCTGGCTGGCCTAGAACTCATTACGTAGGCCAGGCTATTCTTAAACTCACCTGCCTCTGCCTTCCAAGTGCTGGAATATACAGATACATAGTTTTGTGCTGTTAAAAATATTGTTCTGTCGTTCTGTCCCCTGATTTTTCTTAAACTGCTATGCAGTATTCCACAGCAAAGATACCACAGTTATTTTAGTTTGTTTCCAATTTTAATCATGACAATTCTGAGTTTCCCCACACAAAGCTCCTAGTGAATTAGGGTATTTCTAAGGCAGACACACCATCAGTTTTCTGGACCAAAGTGTTATATATTATGTATATCATACATATTATATTGCATAATTGCCCTCTGAGGACAGCTATTATAGACTTACGGTCTCACCAAGAATATAAAAATGTATCCATTTTCTTATACCCATGCTTATCTCTTTGCTTGCACTCCCCACATCCAAAACCCATCCCCCACCACACAGTCATCAGCACAAAATATACTCATTAAGTTGCTCCTCTCTGATATTAAAAAGCTGTTGTCCTCTTACGACAATAGTACACGGACACTTTTATGTAGCTTTTCATTATCTACTATTAACATTAATTTTGGGTGATGCCATCTGATCAAGAAGGGCGTTGTACCTGTGTATATGCCAAAGAGAGCAGAGTCACTGCTGCCATCTTGGTCCTTCGAGGAAGGGGGATTCTCCGGGTCAGGAAGTAGAGCACTGTGATGGCAGTGACGGAAGTGATTCCCTAGGAGAGAAAGGTTGTCATCACGCATGCCAGGATTTCAGCCACACTGACCCCATTCAACTCGTACCTCTCTGGAACCCCGAGCAACCAGGAACCCCGTTACTAGTCACAAGGACATTGTTCCACGCCGGTCATTCCTCACCAGCATCACCCACCATCCTCCTCTGCTGGGATAGAGGTGGTACTGTCACCCACGGCACCACCTGAGTTTGTGTTTACTACTTTATACACACTTACCATCCTTCGAGTGAGGGCCTTGCTCTTTAAATCACATCTTATATCCTCAGTTGTAATTTTATATCTAACTTTGCATTCTTGTTTTTTTTTTTCCCCAAAGACTTATTTTATCTTATGAGCATGGGTGTTTTGCCTGCATGCCAGAAAAGGGTGCTGGAGCCTCTGGAACTAGAGTTAGTGTGAGCTGCCATGTGGGAGCTGGGAACTGAGCTCGGGTCCTCTGCAAGAGCAACAAATGCTCTTAACCACTGAGCCATCTCTCCAGCTCTACTCTCCTATTAAAGCAGGGCTGACCTTAGCACATAAAGGGTTTAACTTCTCTGGGCTGTGAGTAGAGGGGATGGTAATGCTCCCAGATGGTAAAAACAATGAAAATCTTGGTTTCATTTATACCAGAATGCGGGTCTAGGGTGGCAATAAGGTTTTTTTTCTCTGTCCCTTCCAGAGAGAATGTTTTCTATCATATTGTTACATCTGTTTCAGGATGAGCTACAGGGGCAGGTCCAACCATACTTTACCTATGCTAAAATACTGTGTATATCAGCCCTGGCCCACGGGTATGAGTCCTCTTGGGTCTCCTTGTCTGCCATCTCACTGTCGCACGGCTCCATCTGGTGGCATCCCACCTTCAGGGTAACACTCTCTAGAGGTTCCATTTCTGTTGCTCATGTTTGAGGAATGCTGCGGGGAAACCGTGGGCTCTCCTTTGGTCTCTTTTTACGTGTTTTCCTAACCGCTAATCTTAACTTCATGTTCCTCTGAAGCTCCTCTCAGATCTGCCAGCTATTAAGGTCTTCCACTTACGCCTTGTCCCCTGTGACCCTACCCTGCCTTCTCTAACAACAGTGGGGTCTCCTGGGTGCACCCGTTCATCACACTCAGGCTGCCAGGCCAGTTTTAGTACTGTCCCCACACCATCATACCTGTGGTCTTAAATGAAGCACCGCTATGTGCTCAGCCAGAGACTGTTCTCTAGCCACTCGCAGCCCTGCTACAATGACACTTAGGCATGTTCAGGGTTGAGGGTTAGTATTAACTTGCCTGTCTGATTTTAAGCTACAATTTGGGTGTAATGACAAAAATGTCAAACTACACAACCAGTCAGTCCTAGAATTGCTTCCAAAAGAATAAGCAGCAACTGCCTCAACGGCTCTTCTAAAACATGTGAAGGGGCCCTATGTCCAGTGCCTCACGCCTCACTCGCACTCCCAAAAACATGTGTGAGAGTCCCGACGCCCAGCAGCACAAGCTGCCACACTTACCAGAAGCCGGTGATCAAACTGCACCATGGTGGGATTCTCGAAAACATTCTTCAGGATGGGGGAGAAGGTAAGGAGGTCCCCTGGGATCCAAGAGTCTCCCATTTTGGGGAAGGAATTGTAAACAAGCCCAGCATCCAGTCCTGCCACAAAAGCCCCTGCGTGCCAAGATACACAGGACTTAGCAAAGTGAAGACCAAGTATTAGCCTGAACACAGAAGTCTCCTACCCCAAAGCCAGATCAAGGAACAGGTTGGATGGTAATAGAAAAGTAGGCAACTGGGCTTCCCGGGCAGAGAACATACATCACAGTCTCCACAGGAACTCAGCAACACCTCGAACCCTTATCTGCTCCAACTCCAAGACTGCAGCATGTCTCCACTAGAGACCAGCTCTGGAGAAGTTGCCTATTCATTTGGAAAAAGTCTTTGTTTTGTCCCTACTGTCCCTAACTACTGCTGGTTTACCCTGTCACTTCCTCAGCCTCAAACATCACTGTTAGAGGGAGCCCCCTGGTGGCCTGATGGCACGCTTGATCCATTCATCTCCCTTCATCTTGCTTCATTTTCCTCGCAGCACTGAATGTTACTGAGTGTGTTTTTGTTGTACATTTTCCATATTTCTTCCCAAGGATTCAATAAATATTTGTTGAAGGACTAAAGAAGATACAAGAGAATTCAAACTTACAAACTAAACCCTGGGTAAGTACAAAAAGAAGGCAGGTGAATGGATGGATAATAGATCCAGTATTACCACCAGAGAGTCAAAAGAGATTTGAGTCATTTTTGTCAACATGACTTACAAGGTCAAAATACACATAACACAGGAAAGAAATGAAGAGCAGAGAATCAAGGGCAAGGTGGGCTCTTGGTTTGAGTTAATGGTATTTTCATGACCAAGCAGCCCTGTCCAATAAACCCTGTGATAATGGAAGTGTCCTCCTATACCTGTTACACCCAGCAATTCATTAGCCAAAGCCACATGTGCCCGTTGGTCACTCAGTATGGCTAGCGTAACTGAATGAAAGCTGAATGTTACTTAACCTTAATCTAAGTTTAATCACACGGGGCACAGGGATTTAGAGTCCCGGATTAGATAGTGCATTCCGAGTGAGAAAGGTAAAGGTGAACTTATAATTTAAAAAAGAGAAGCCTAGGGCTAGAGCAATGCTGCTTTTCCAGAAGACCTGAGTTCAATTCCCAGCACCCATGTTGGGTGGCTCCCAATCTCATGTAACCCCAGCTACAGGGGGTCCTCCTCTGGCGTATGTGTTACCTGCACACACATGGACACATATAAATAAAAAAGTTTAAAACTCTCAGGAGGGAAGAAGAGCTACACTGGTCCCAGCTCCAGTGACCCTGAACATCTTTGACCATCACTGAGGACAGGCCACCTGTCTCAGCCACTCTGCTGTGATGTGTACTAACCATGCTCACATAGCACAACCAACAGCCTTTGCTACAAGCCAGGCACTGTTCTAAGCATGCCGTGTACATGATGTATAGTCATCATCTCATCATGTATGTTTCACACAATGCTTGCAGTTCCCAGGTGAGGCTACAAATCAATTTGGACTTGGGCAGTATGAATTTAAGTAAATGCTCAATAGTTCCGTTCAACTGAGGAGGCAGCAGGAGCAGAAAGGGCAAATGGGGGAGCAAAGGAGCCAAGTGAGGTAGGAAAAGATGAAGATGCAGCGGGAACAAGTGTTGAACGGGAAATGCCACTTCGCCCTGGGACGAAGCGTACCTGAGAGAGCCGTAAGGAAGACCAGGCCTGCTGTGCCACCAGCAAAGCGCCTCAGCCACAGGAGCTGTCGGGTTTCAGGCAACTGAAAAGGACAATCAGCCATTGTTCAGAAGGAACTATGGAGGCAGCAAGATCCCCAAATCCAAACCCAGACAATTTAAGGTCAGATTGTCTCTGTCTGCTAACAAGGACGAGTACCCCAGCAGACACTGCTCTAACATAGGATGAACACTCCCAGGAGACACTGTTCTAACATAATCTATTTCACTGTTAGACATTTATTATGTATCTTCCTAGATACTTCAAATAATTAAATTTAAATAGCCCCCAGTAGTTACTGGGATAGAGAACATGGGACTATACCACTTAATTATCATCTCAAATTCTTTCTATAATTAGGTAGGATATAAACAAATAAAAAGGGAAAAATTGATAAAAGTTATCAGTGACCTCCACAGTGCAACCCCAGTGTTTGGGTGTGTGCGAGTGTGTGGGTACATGTGAGCACTGAAGGGAAGGACACAAATCACTGTGCTTTAATATTTACAGCATGAGACTGAATTCCGTGTCCCACTTAATGTGACACAACCGTGCTGTTGACCACTAGCACAAGTTTAACCACAGCTCTTGCTCTGGTCCTCCTGCCTTGCTATTCACTCTCCATTCAGGGAGCCAGGGCTACAGTGGTTGGGTTAGGTCTTACTGTCAGCTCTCCTGGCCCTTTTCCCAAAATGTGTGTTTTTATATTCCTCGTTAAACAGTGCTGACAAGACATCCAGCCTCTGTATTACCAAGCAACTTCACTTCTGAGTGTGTGTGTGTGTGTGTGTGTGTGTGTGTATCCCAAAGAATTGAAACTGGTAGCTGTGCACCCTTGCTCACAGACACGTTCTTTACGATATCCAAAGTGGGAGCAGCAGGTGTTGGGGGGAATCTGAATTTGACTTACTAACTATTCGTTAGAACCAGATTTCCATCCCCTGCCCTGTCAGAACCTGTGGCTGTGGCGATGACGTGGACTGACCCAGACCGATGTTTACCTTGTGCTGAGGAAGTAGCAGTGACAGTGAGGTCCACAGGCTGGCACAGTAGAGGACAAGTGCTGATCCCAGGTGGGCTGCAAGGCGGTACTGACTGACCCGAGGGATATCGTAGGACTCCGGCTTTTCTTCTAATCCACTTTTCACCATATACCAACCCAAGAGACCCTAGAATTCAAGCAGAGAGGGGCAAGTCAAACAAGGCTTGACCTGTTGGTTCTACTGAGAAAGTATGTTATTAGAAGCACAGCTTTCCCAACCAGTTTCCACACCCTTCTAGTGTTCAGGAAGTGTGAACTGTTGGCAATTCTGTATTAACAGTACGAGTGCTTGTTCACTGTTTAGATTTCAGTTTTGTTGAAGTATAGTTCAGGTATATGAAATCACACAGAAGTTTATCTGCACTCAAAACTATGTAAGTGCTCTATATAATTTAACATGCAAACAAGTGAAACAGAACAGTCTATTCTAGGAAAACTAGACTATATTTGGAAAAAGCTCAATAAAGGTTAACTGTTTAAAGATAATTACCATCAAGATAGGTGGGTATTAGAAAAACACAAAAGTCTTGGGGAAAATTGTACAAATACGTAAGATTTTGCATGTAGACTGCTTTGCAAAAATATATTTCTACTCTCTAAGAAAAATGAAACTGGTAACTATAATTTGTGGAGATGAAGAAATTTAAAGTTGAACTTCAAATTCCAAATTCAGTCAAAGAAAGACTTCAGCTCTCAGGAAGGAAGAGGGAGGGAGGATGATCGGTAAATGCAGGTTTAAACCAGATGTGGCAGCACAGACTTGTAATCCCAGCCCTTGGGAAGTAGAGGCAGCAGGATCAGCAATTTGAGGTCATACTTAGCTACATAGCAAGTTAGGGTCAGACTGGGTACATGAGACCCTGTGTCATAAATCCAAAATAAATCGACCAACCAAAGAATAATAACGGAATCCCACCATTCCTCAACAGCACGCGTGTTTATGTTTAGGAAGCTCAAAGAATGTATCACACTCTGTGGTCCTCTGCTTTAATTAGCAAACAGCCCAACTACATCATTTCTAATCTTATCAGGTAAGACAGAATCATTTCACCCACTGCCCCCGATTCCACAGATTCTGGCCAAAGGGGCGAGTTTCTACTCCTTCTTCAGGTAATCCTTTGGGCATATTTCCTTCTCTTTTCAGGGTTAGCCTGGCTATTATAATTGCCTTTCCTTTTCAGGGACCCTGGAAAAATGACAGCAGTATAGTGTGAATTCTCTAGCCCAACCTGCTTCCTCCCCCAACCCTATCTGACAACTTAAATTTCTATCTTTGGGGCTGGAGAGGTGGCTCAGTAGTTAAGAGCACTGGCTGCTCTTCCAGAGGACGTGGGTTCAATTCCTAGCACCCACATGGTAGTTCACAGCTATCTGTGACCCCAGTTGTAGGGGATCTGGCACCTTCACACCAATGCACATAAAATAAATTTAAATAAACTATTTTAAAATTTTTCTGCCTTCATTTTTAATGTTTAGTTATAAAATTAAACTTACATTTTATTCTATCTAATTTGCTTAGTTACTAAAATATAATGAAAGTTAACTTTTACAATAAACTATAAAGTAACTTTTATTGGTGTCTAATTCTTTATTGTAGTTTCTATTGCCTCATTAATCATTTCTTAATTAGATTATCTCCTTACCTTCTGAGTTAATTAACCACCTCATTTCCTACTGGTCAAATGCCAATGTTTCTTTGATGCTGTGACACCATCAGGACCTTACATTTTTGACCAAACACTTGTAGGTGTCTTCTCTAGTTCCTTTTCTTGGTTCTTGCTTTAACTGTGGGAATCTCCCAAAGCTCTTTTCCTTAAGAAAAGTCTAGCTCTCATGATTTTAAATACCCCACCTACATCTGTATCCCAATTCTCATCCCCAAAACTGTTTCTTTTGGAGTTTTCTTGTTTGCCTCCGTAGTTACTCTACAATAGGGACCACTCTTTCTAAGACAGCAGACAAGTTAGAAAAAATGGAAGAGAATACAGTCAGAGAGCCACAATGAGGCCATGAACTCTACTTCTAGTGGTCCAAGAAAATGTACTTATTGAGTGCTTCCTGACTTTTAGATAGCCAGCTAACTGCTTTATAGATATTATCTCATTTAATATCTCTACTCCCTAAGTGGCACTATTACTATCTCTTCCTACAGTAAGTAAGGAAATAATATATGACGAAAGGCAGACAGCTTGTCCTAAGTGACAGAACTTGGGCTTAAAGCCAAGCCTATGGCACTACTGCAGTGCTTCAAAGATGATGTCCTTAAATAATGCCAACTAGGAAGCTCTTTGAAGCATCTCTGGTTTCCCACTCTTGAATAACTCTTACCTGGAAACAAACTAAGCCACAGAGGGCAAGAACACGTCCTTTCATGCCTCGACTGAGCCAACCCTTTCTCCAAAAGTAGGCAGCGGGCAGGATGTACGCAAGGCCTACAGCTCGACCCCACATTCGGTGCGAGTATTCCATGTACCAGATAAACTTGAATTCCGCCAGTGTCATGTCATGATTCAGGCTAGGTGAAATGAGAGTCAAAAATGAAGAAAGATGAAACTGCCATTGGGTTTATTTACTTATTTTGTGTGTATGGAAACATATGCCATGTGTGTAGGTCAGAGACAACTTTTTGAGATTCAGTTTTCTGTTCTCTCCTTACACCTTCTGTTTAAGGCAGGGTCTCTCTTGTGTCTATGAATGTATTATATACTACACATTATGCTGGCCCTCGAATTTCTGGCTGATTTTCCCTTCTACCTCCCATCTCACAACAGTGCTGGAATTATAGATGTATATATACCATTACATTTGGCTTATTCCATAGGTTATGGGGTTGAATTTAAGTCATCAAGGTAACAGAGCAAGCACTTTTACTGCTAAGCCATCTCCTCAGTCCTTCCATTTGTTTACCTATGTAATACAGAAGTATTCCCAGAGATTAAAGGCATGTGTCTGCATTGTCCATAGTGCAGTGCATTTTCTAAATTAGTGATTGATGGGGGAGGGCCCAGCCCATTATAGGTGGGGTCATCCCTGGGCTGAGGTCCTGGGCTCTATAAGGAAGCAGGCTGAACAAGTCATGGGGAGCATCATGTCAGTAAGCAGCACCTCTGTCCAAACATAATCCAAAAATGGAGCTGTGTGAAAATTCTGAGTACTTGTGAGAAAACTTCAAGAAAAAAAAGTGGTGATATATTATTTATGGTTTCATAAAGCTTGCCTGGGGGTTCAGAATGCAAAGCTAGCCACAAGCTAGCAGTAATGGTACACACCTTTACCCAGGACTCAGGAGACTGAGGTAGAGGGATCTCTGTTAGTTCCAGGCCACAATGAGCTACATGAAACTGATCCAGTCTAACAGAGAAATAGCTCACACAAAGGTGATCTCAGCACTTGGAGCGACATGCCTTTAATCTCAGGAAGGTGGAGACAGGAGCAATATGACTGGGTGGAGAGAGGAATGTAAGGGGAGGAGACAGGAGCTCTGAGGACTGCAGTCTGAGGCTTGGTGGAGAGCAGTGCAATCTGGGTTGCACTCTGAGGATTTCTGGAGAGCATATTGCCTCTGAGGATTGCACTCCGAGGATTTGTGAAGGCAGCATCACTCATTTCTGTTAGAGGTAGAGGTAAGAGCTAGTGGCTGGCTGCTTTGAGTCTCTCATTTTCAGCTTCAATTCCAATATCAGTCTGTAGTTTTTATTATTCATGTTACAAAAAAAGACAAGAGTCTTGTTATACTTCAGTTCTTTCAAAACACAGAAATGTTCTTTGACTGTGTTTTCATGTTCCTCCCAAGTGTAGCAGATAGGAGTAAGTTTACTTCAGCTGTTGTTATTTATATGCCTCGATGGAAAAACATGCTTTTGCCATGTGTGGCTTGTCCTTGTGACTGAACACCTTTCTCATGTGAGTCTCCTTAACTCTCAGAGTGTAACTTGCCTGATGCTCTGGATAAAGTTGGTTATTGTATTGTAAGCTTCATTTTTAGGGTCCATCCTCCCGGGCTCCATGGCCTCTGCATCAGCTCCTGCCTCCCGGGTCCTGCCTTGCCTGAATTCCCACCCCCACGGCTTTTAATGAGGAACTGTTCTATGGAACTGTGAGTGAAATAAACCCTTTCCTCCCCAAGTTGCCGTTGGTCATGGTGTCCCATCACAGCACTAGTAACCTTAAGACAGGGTGTTTACTTGAGGGGCTTTGGAGATGGCTCAGTGAGTAAGAATGCTCTCTGTGCAAGCATGAAGAGTTGAGTTCAAATCCCCAGCACCCATATAAAAAGCTGGGCATGTTTTGTGTCCTGTAACTCTAGTACTTTGGGGGACAGAGAGAAGAAAATCACTGAGATTTGCCAGCAATGAGCTTAGCTCCAGCTTCAGAGAGAAACCATGTCTTCAAGCATCACACACACACACACACACACACACACCCCTTCATCACACACATATCAGGACATTTACCTGATTTCTTCTAACACTTACATTTTAAATTCTGGAAATTGCTGGTATTTTTGGAATTCTGCTTCCCATTCTTCTTGGCTTGTGGGTGGCTTCATCTCCTTTATTAAATGCCAGTCTACCATTGACAGGCCAGATTCCGTCAGCCTTAGGATAGAAAATTTATGAGTATAATTCCAGAGTATTCATAAATAGTTTATGGCAACAAGTAGGTGCACTTACCCTGTGGATGTGAATCCCTTCCTCTTCCGTTTTTGCTTGCATTACTGGTCCTTGCATAAATAAGGCCCTACATGCCAGCTCTTATTTCTTTACCCTTTTAGTTTATTTTCTCAATTCTTTTATTCAGCCTCACTCCCCTCCCATTCATTATTTGTTGATTATTATTTTTTCTTTCCTGAAACAGGGTCTCTGACTTGCCTCTTACACTCCCAAGGGCTGAGGTGACAGCTTGTGCCGCTATGACTGGGTCCCACTTCATTCTTTCGCTAACATTTCTTTACAGGCAAAAACAATGCTTACAGTAAAGGCACAAACAACATCCTCATTATTTTGGTGCTCAGGAATGAACTCATGGTCTTGTACACACAAAGTATTCATTCAGCCATGGAACTATGTAGAACACTAGCTAAAACTAACATTCCTACAGCCAGAAAAGAGGCTTCCTGCAGAAGCACAGGTTCAAGATATTAAATTTGTTGCAATTTCCCATAACAGCCGATGTTTAACAACACAGTATTTTAAAACAGGAGTGTGATGAGTATGAATATAGCACACACACTTCTTTAAAATTAAAAAGTAGGGACTGGAGGAATAACTCACCCAATAAAATGCTTGTCTAAACACAAACCCAGAACCTATGTTTAAAAAAACAAAAAAACAGGTACAATAGCACACACTTGCAATCCCAGTTTTGGACAGAACTTGATGGTCTATGTGGCAAGTTCAAGGAAAGTGACAGACCTTATCTCAAAAAATAAAGAAAAAAGGAAAAGAAAAAGGTGGGCAGCACCTAGGAATGAAACTCAAAGTCATCTTCTGACCTCTGCATACAGATGCCATGCACACAGACACACAAACTAAAAAGTACTATCACCAAAAAGGAATCATGGCTTCTAATCTAACAGCCAAGGCAAGAAATGTACAAAATAAGCCTGGAAACCCTTATCATACCAGAAAGCAAAGATGCTGGGACCAACGTCAAGACATTCCTACCAATTAAGACAGGGAGTTTAAGCAAGCTAACAACATAACCCTCATAGTGGAGTAAGGTATATCAAATGTATTTAAATTTATGAACTCATAACAAAATTTCAAAACCCAAACCCTTTATTTGTAGCCTCTGGAGGATCTTGGGAACAGATTTATTATTTTGAAAATTGGTAAATGAAGAGAGTGAGTCAAGTCTTGCCTTTCCTATAAAGACTATATCCTGGGGTAATGAAATTGCTAATGAGGGAAAGTTTCTCTTTATAGATGAGCTAATAAATTTTTGGAAGTTTTAGAATTCTGATGAAAAAGTTGATACAGACAATAATAATCAAGACAGGTAAAGTCCCCAATAGATTCTAGAATGAATGCTCCAATCATCTATGCAGTATTTTGCCCCCTCATTACCAATCTGAACCTAATAGGCATCTACTCATTTACAGGGCAGATGGGGACAAAGAATATGTTACACATCACTAGATAATCAGACTGTGGGTAACCATAGGACAAATGACTTGGCCTTCTTCAATAACAACAAAACTTTGAAGATGTGGGAGGAGGGAAAGCCTAAATCCATAAAGTCTGTTTACTGATATATTGATAACCTCTGAGAGATATGAAGCAATTGTGGTACATGGACATAATGTGTTTAATTTAAGCAAACAAACTCAGGAGGGAAAGTTGAGGTAAATCTGAACACTGGAGAGGTAAACTATACAGAAGCAATAATGCCCAGCTATCAGCGAAGACTGAAACCTGTCACAACGGGCTCCTACTAATAAAACACTATCCTGCTGTAAAACAGAGAGGCTATTAAGTTTCTCCATCTGTAAATTGAGAGAGCTAAACCAAATGATTCCCAGAGCCCCCTTTTCCCACTGATCACCTGACTCACCAAGAGCAAAGGGCTCACCTAGTTACTCCTCCAAGAATAACTGCTCCAGCTACCGTTCCACTGCACACCAGGAGCCAGCGCCCCACTGCCTGCTCAGCTGCCTTCGAAGGAAGGGGCACTGCGCCTTTTCCGGATCGCAAAGCCACTTCAGTGACGGTGCCATACTGCCCTGGCCTCAGAGGACGCCTGCTCCCAAAGCTGCAACCACACTGAGGAGCAAGAAAGAAAATCTTAACTGAAGAATCGGGGAGAGACTGTTACCCACACTCAGCCTCAGTTTGCCTGGAGAAAAGCACCCTGTAAAGCCGCATTTTTACAGCCACCAATCCGGTTGATTGCTGTCTCTCATCTGGAATACTGGAATTTCCTAATGAGCTTTTCCTTTCGGCCTCTAAATGTGCTATTAGCCCCACGCCCCTCGACTCACCACGCCCACCCCGCTTTCACCCTTCCTGACTGATAATACCCACTGTAGAGCTGGGCTTGCCTTGTTACTCCCCAAACTTTTCAGAGTATCACAACAGGACACTCTCACAGCATAAGGGCCTCCCCTACCAAACTCTTAACACACTGCCATGTGTCTGCAGGTGACCTGTCCTTGGGTCTCACTAATCTGGGAGCTCTGCAAGGCAGGTTCAGGTCAATCTTTCTCTCTTTAACTGCCTTTGTTTGTAGTACTGGTCCCTTACATAGCAAGACCTAACACATACTTAGCAAGTGAACCAACAATGGGGTGAACCGGCTCCTCCAGGGCAGAGAGCATGTGTGCATTTATTTTTCTCTTCCTAGACCAGGGCACACTGTTTTCTCTTCACATCCCAAAAATCTTTCACATTTTCCTAAGAATTATCAGAATACATGTCCTCTTTGGTTCTAACCCCATGAGTGAGAAAATGTATGTTCAGTTTCCTATTTCTAATTAACTGGGTAATGGAACAAACTTAAAGTAAGCCTCCATTTTCTTCTCTGTAGAATGGGGTTATACAGCAGTTCCTGACTTAGCAAAAACCAAATGTGCAAAAAATATCGCGCTTTTATCACGTGATAGAGGTTTGGTGCATATTAAAAAAAACTGAATCCTCACCAACACCTTGTGAAATAGTAGTTAGCCCATTCTACAGATTAGCAAATTGAAACATAAAAGCTAAATGAATCGGCCAGTAGTACACAAACAGGGGGCAGCATTTCCGCGTCCCCATTCGGGGGCTGTCTGGACACAACGTAATGTGTCGTGAGATGATGAGGACGCAGCAACTTGAAGGGAGGTTCGTTAACTTCATTCTAGCCTTTTTCACCGCAGCCGGGCTTCCGTGGTCGGAGCCAGCTGCAGGGGGTACCTGTGCTCTGGACGCCGCCCTAGGGACAAGGAATCTGACGCTGCGGCTCCCCCCGAAGGCCTTCAGGGGCGGAAGGAGCAACCGTTGCATACTGACAGCGTACCGCCTCCGCCGGGACGCCCCAGCGACCGGCCGCCCCGTCTCCTCTCCGGAAAGGAGAAGCACTTCCGGGTCAGACACCGCGCGCGAGCGCGCCCCCTCCGCGGCAGGCTGGCCACTGCGCTTGCGCCGACGACTGGGCTCCGCTGGCGCCGCGGGGCGCGGCCGTCGGGAACGCGCGCCCTCGGCCGCTCGCTCGCTGGCTCAGCCGCGGGGACGCAGTGGAAACCGGAGGCGAGCGAGGGAGGAAGGCGGGAAGCATGAAGAGAGGGGTTTCCTGCGAGCGGAAACCCGCGTGGATGCCGTCGGGGAAGGCGGGTGCGGAAGTTGGCGGGGCAGGGGTGGTCGGCCCGTCGACCCCGGGGTGGGGCCCGGCCCGTTACGTTTCCTCCGCTTCTCGGGTCACGCTTTCACACAAGTGCCCTCAGCTCCCCGAAGCCCCTTGGGCCACAAGAGGGGACCTAACCCCCACCTCCCTGTCGCTGTGGTAGATAATAAACGTGTGGTGACAAGTGGGATCTGTTTCCACAGCCACTGGGTTGGCTGCAGGTGGCGGCTTCCTCCTGGAGTTGTCCAGGGCTGGCTGTCACCGCAGACAGCAATTCGGCAAGTTTCTTCTCTTTGTATCGGTGAACTCTTTGGTTCTCCCAACCAGCGGTTCTCACATTTGTTTTCCCCTTAAGACTTACCGTCCTATAAAAAGTATTGACTGATAATTAGAAAATAGCACTAATATACCTATCATATGTTAAGCAAAATAGTGTAGGTGGCAGTGCTCTGACTTTTGCAAATCTCTTTAATATGGAAGATAGCTGGCTTCTCATACTTACATCCGCATCCCGTCTGACACATTTAGCAGTGTCCTGAGAACTGCATCCCACTGATGAGAGGCTAAGAGAGAAAAAGGCAAGTAAAGCCACAGACTCGAGTCCCCAAAGCTACCCGGAGTAGCTTACTTTCAGCACTACTGACTCAAATGTCTGTTTTGATCCCTACAAACAAACTTTGTTGCTCAGGCTCCTGTTTTAACCATTCCCGTACTCCTGTGTGAAGCTCCTGATTATCCTTCAGCATTATTAGCCCCACTGGTGTGACTTTTTGTGGCTATCTGATTTGTGGAATCAGAGCATTGTGTAAGACCATAGGCTAACATTTGAGTTCCAATCTATGGGACCAATAGTCTTTTATTAAAAATAAATGGCAGTTGCAACGCCATATTACAAGTTGACAGATTTTTGTTCTTCAGAGTAATTTTTCATCATAAAAGCAGTCACTATTAGGTAGAAGAAGTCAAGCGATATAGAAAAGTAGAAATAATTACAAACTCACTGCCCGTTACTAACCACTACCACAATATGTAACTTCTTACAGAAATCATGACATGAAGCATGCTTCCCAGGGAGAGTGAGGTCTTCCATGGAGAGTCTTCAAAGTCTGTCATATCATTTGGAGCAGGGCCTAGATCCTCCCCCCATGTATCTAGGCTGAGAGAGTATCCCTCTGTGTGGAATGGGCTCCCAAAGTCCATTCGTATACTAGGGATAAATATTGATCCACTATCAGAGGCCCCATAGACTGCCCAGGCCTCCTAACTAACACCCACATTCAGGGGGTCTGGGTGGGTCCTATGCTGGTTTCCCAGCTATCAGACTGGGGTCCATGAGCTCCCCCTTGTTCAGGTCAGCTGTTTCTGTGGGTTTCTCCAGCCTGGTCTTGACTTCTTTGTTCATCACTCCTCCCTCTCTGCAACTGGATTCCAGGAGTTTGTTCAACTCAGTGTTTAACTGTGGGTGTCTGCTTCTGCTTTCATCAGCTACTAGATGAAGGCTCTAGGATGGCATTTAAGGTAGTCATCAATCTCATTATCAGGGAAGAGCATTTAAGATAGCCTCTGCACTATTGCTTAGATTGTTAGTTGGGGTCATCCTTGTAGATCTCTGGACATTTCCCTGGTGCCAGATTTCTCTTAAAACCTATAATGGCTCCCTCTATTATCTCTATACCTGCTCTCTTCTATTCTTCCCTGACTCAGTCTTCCTGCTCCCTCATGTCCTCCTCTCCCCTCCTTTTCCCCCTAACTCCCTCTCCCCCCCCTCCCACCATGCTCCCAATTTGCTCAGGAGATCTTCTCCCTTTCCCCTTCTCCAGTGGACCATGTATGTCTCTCTTAGGGTCCTCCTTGTTTCCTAGCTTTTCTGGTGATATGGATTGTAGGCTGGTAATCCTTTGTTCCATGTCTAAAATCCATATATGAGTGAGTACATACCGTGTTTGTCTTCTTGTGACTGGGTTACCTCACTCAGGATGGTTTCTTCTAGTTCCATCCATTTGCCTGGGAATTTCATGATTCCATTGTTTTGTTTTTTCCGCTGAGTAATACTCCATTGTGTAAATGTGCCACATTTTCTCCATCCATTCTTCAGGTGAGGGGCATTAGGTTCTGGCTATTACAAATAGTGCTGCTATGAACATAGTTAAACAGATGTCCTTGTTGTATGAAAGTGCATCTTTTGGGTATATACCTAAGAGTGGAATTGCTGAATACTGTGGTAGACTGATTCCCATTTTCCTGAGGAGCCGCCATACTGATTTCCAAAGTAGCTGTACAAGTTTGCACTCCCACCAGCAGTGGAGGAGTGTGCCCCTTTCTCCACATCTCCAGCATAAACTGTCTTTGGTGTTATTAAGAACGTCATGTCAACCAACAGAGATCAGATATGTATCCCATAAGTAAGAGGGGAAACTAGGGTTTTAATGAGAAATATGGAACTCCAGTTATTGGAGTTCAAAAGAAGGATACAAATGTTTCTACTTTGGGAGAAAAAACATAGAAATGTGACTTGGCAAGATCCTTGGAAAAGTTTAGCATTTGAGGATGAAACTAGAAGGATTTTGTCAGTTGGGATAGTATAATCATTGGTAAAGATGGGGCATGAAGAACACTGGAGTCATAAGGAGGAAATAATATGCAGTTTATTCATGACAATGAATGCTTTTTGGATGCTTAGTGGGTGTATCCTTTATGTAAACTCTCTCCATGTTCATTACTCTGAGGGCAGGAATTAAAACCTCTGTCTCATGGAAAAGTAACTTGTCTAGGGTCATACAGTGATAAAGTGGTGGGACCAGGATTTGAACCCTTGGTTTTAAAAATGTATTCCTTATCACTGCTGGCGCTGAGAGACGTTCTGAGAGTCTGAGCTGAGATACTGTGATGAGGTCCATGTTTCAGGAAGATTAATTTCACTTTTAGTATATACTAAGATGGTTTTGGTTTGGTTTCTTTTCCATTTGTCTGTATATCTGCTGCCCAGTCTAGAGACAACGGTTTTAATGAGCGTGGTGTTTTTCCACATGGATGGGTCTTAGTATATGTACTTGTTTCTCTATTGCACATTTGGATTCAGGCAGCAAAAACTGAAGTATGAGTGGAAGACTGCTATAAAATGTTAGTTCCTTCAAAAATTTCTGTTGTTCATGTTTTAGGAGCACCACATGGATTTCTTATGGAGATATGTGTGGATTCAGTGGAGTCAGCCGTGAATGCAGAAAGAGGAGGTAAGGGAGACTAGATAATGACTAGGTGGCTGGCAGCTCTTTATAGAGTCTGAAAATGAATCCTATGAACTGATCTCAAAAAAAGCCTTGCCAAGCTGGGCACTTGGGAGGCTGAGGCAAAAGGTCTCTGTGAAGTTAGTGTGAGCTATAGAGTGAAACTCCGTTAAAAAATAAAAAAAGAAAAAGTCCTAGAAAACCTACCGAAGAGTTTGGCATGGTGGCACATTCTTATAATCCCAGCATGGCGGCGTGAGGGTTGAAAGTTTGAGGCCAGCTTGAGCTAGATAGTAAAGCAAAGTTTTAAATTTATTGGAAAATTACTGTTTAATTTTCCCTTCCCCCAGCAGGTCACATTTTAAGTCAAGCATCTGTATTCCTGCTTATTCAGTAACATGATTATTTTATTGATTTTAACACAAATTTAAGAAGTTGAAACAGTTCAAAGATATCTTTAGGGGACTGAGCAGTTAGCTCAGTGACAAAGCATTTATAGCATATACAATCCCCAGTATTGAATAAGAGTTCACATTAAAGATGGTGTTAGATGTCTTATCTTTTTACCATATGTTTTGTTTTGTATTTTAAATTTGTTTTTGTGAGAAGCATAGACTTTCCATCATCTCAAGGTCAGAAAAATAATTTTAACTTATTTTTTTGGTTGTACTAGGGGAAAAACTCGGGATCTTGTGCATTTTAGGCAAGCATTCTATGAAACCACATCCCCAGACTTTTATTGTAAGGTGTACGGTTTTTCTGCCCGCTGCCTGGTCTTGTCCGGCCGCCGCGCCAGCCCCAATTAACACACTGAGACTCTGTATTAGATATAATTCTGTTGGCCCGTTACTTGTTTCTTATTGGCTAGCTCTGTCTTAAGTATTAACCCATTTCTATGTATTTCCACATGGTTTCCTTACTGGGGAGTGGGGCAGGCGTCTGGTCTCCCCAGTCTCTCCATTTTGACTCTCCTTCCTTACTACTTCCTCTTTCCTCCTCATCTCCTAGTCCTGCCTATCTTGCTTTCCTATTGTCCAACAGTACTTTATTCATTAAACCAGTATGAGAAACATATTTACAGAATTTTTAATTAAGAAACATTTTCAAACATAAATAAATCAGACTTAACATGTGCTGGCTAGTTTTATCATTTGTGAAGAAGGAACCTCAGAATATAAAGTATCTACCAGATTGGCCTATGGGAAAGCCCCTGGTACATTTTCCTTACTAATGATTGATGTAGGAGGACCCAGCTCACTGTGGGTAACACCACCCATGGGCTGTTGGTCCTGGGTGCTATAAGGAAACAGATTGAGCAAGCCAGTAAACAAGACTCCTCCACAGCTTCTCTAGTTTCTGCCCTGACTGCCCTTAGTGATGAACGTATAAGGTAAAGGAAGCTCTTTCTCCAGTTGCAGCAGTAGAAACCCTAACACCCTATCTACTCATCGCTCAGTTT